GGGGGTGTGCTGCTCACAGTCACCACCAGGAGCTTCAGGCCTGTGCAAACGAGCCACTTCAGGACCAAATCAGTGTCCATGGTTCATGACTTGTTCCCTCTGAGTCACTGGCTGTCTTTGGTGCATGATCTCAGGACTTTGCACAGACAGCTCCTCTTCGGCTCTCTGCTGCCCCCATGTGGCTATCTCAAGAAGGGCAGAGCCTGCTAGAGGGTGCCCAAGATTCACCCAAGCCTCTGGCCCAAAATTCTTTCCAACAGCCAGCCCCAGTCTTGCAACCTGGAAGCTGAGTAGACCTCTCCAGACACTCAGCATGAGTTACATCCTGAGTTGGAGGGAGGCCTCCCTGGCTGGCAGGCCTTCTTCTACTCCCTTCCCTCCTTTCCCCTCTGCTCCCCACCCAGTCCTTGCCAGCAGGCAGGAAGGAAGCTGCTCATAGTGGGGAGGGTGGGGCACTTCCAGCTCACACTGAACAACCCTGGGTTGGGCTAGAAACAGTCAAGACCTTCTGCTTTGTCACCCGCACCCTCCACAGCTCCTAGAGCCCCTACACACACACACCCTGGACCTTGCCTTTCCAACTCAGGCACCTAGATCCGGGCATTACTCACCTCCCAACCCTGAATACCACTGCATTCTGAGGGAAGGCAGGAGTAAGATTCGCCACTTTCTCAGAGTTCAGGATGCTTTGAGGGAGCACCAGAGGCCCGACCCTCCCCAGGGAGGTGCCCCCCACTCACCCACAGAAGACTATGAGGGTTGGGATCTGGGCCCACCTTTCCAGTGGGGTAGAAATGTGCCCACTGTCTGGGATGGAGGGGCTGAACCCCCAATCAGATCACCTCTAAAGCCCCATCCAGCTTGACACCCCACAATTTAAATTTAAATTATGTCCTTTCGATAGAGTTGAAACCTTGAACATTTTGTTTTTTCAGAAGTGGCTCTTTGAAATGCGTTGCTAAATAAGTAAAATGCATTTGCCAATACAAGTAGCCAGCCACTAAGATGCATAAACTTTGATGCCTTTTCAGCAGGGATGCCAGCAAGAACAGAACCAAAACCACAGAGCGCTGGCAAGGAGGGAAAGGCCCACTCTAGAAGTGGAGGAAGCAACTGTCAGGGAGCACTGTTCTTTGACTTGTTTTGTTTTTAATTGACACATAGAAATTAAACGTATTTACGGGGTACTTACTACATGACGTTTTGATACACGTGTGCTTTGTGCAATGTTCAAATTGGGATTAGCAATTGGGATGTGGTGGTACAAGCCTATAATCCCAGTATTCAAGAGGCAAAGACAGGAGAATCAAGAATTCAAGGCCAGCTGGGTGCAGGTGGCTCACGCCTGTAATCCTAGCAACTCAGGAGGCAGAGATCAGGAGGATGGCGGTTTGAAGCCAGCCCAGGCAAATAGTTTGAGAGACCCGATGTTGAAAAACCCTTCAAATAAAAGGGCTGGTGGAGTAGCTCAAAGTGTAGAACCTGAGTCAAACCCCAGTACCACAAATAAAAAAAAAATTCATGGCCTGGGCTGGGCCCATGGCTCAAGTGGTAAAGGATCTACCTGGCAAGCACAGGTCCTGAGTTCAAATCTCAGTACTACCAATAAAAAGAGAGAGGAGAGTATGAGGCTTACCTGGGCTGTATATCAAGACCTTGTCTCAGATAATTTAAGAAAACAAATTTAAATCAAGGTAAGAATAACTATATCCTGTAACATTTTTCATTTCTTTGTGACAAAACCATTCAAAATCCTTTCTTTTACCTTTTTAATATTCATAGCACGTTACCATTATCTATAGTCACCCTGCTGTGCAGTAGCCAAAACTGATTTCTCTTGTCTAATTATAACTTAGTACAGTCGGCCAACCTCTCTCCATCTCTCTGGCCCATGTTGCATGGTTTAGATCAGAGTGCCTGAACAGAAGTTAGGATGGCTGGGTAACACTGTCTTCCCCAGCAAAGGAGAGAAGGAAATTTCTGTTGGGAATGCTCCCATCTCTGACTTTTTCCATTCATTTGACTTCTTCTTTTCTCAAAACCTGCCATGCTGTGCCCCAGACAGAGCCCGTTGACCCTTCAGTGTCAACCAGGCTTTGAGAATTGGGCCGCCTCTGCTCTTATGGCTGAACAGTGCTCCCTCTTCCACCTGTCCTTCACCCTACCCATCTTGCCTCAGCCAAACCTGTTCTCAGGGGCATCCCCTCCCCATTGCCTCTGAGATGGCCATGCACATTTGCAGTGAAGCAAGCCAGTGTTTAGGAAGCACACACTCGGTGCAGGGCAGTCAGACCCAGCAGAGGATCCCATGAGCAGAAGTGGCCTGTGTCCTCCAGGGTTCTTGGACAGGAACTCACGTGCACAGAACAAGCCACCTGCAAACCAAGGCCCAGAGGAAAAGATGTTCCCAGAGGCTGAGGATAAGGAGACAAAGAGTGCCCACGAAGTATGGAGAAGGGGATATTGATGAAGGCCTCACAGAAGAACCCCAGGGCTGTTTGGCGATGGACTCCCCTGAGAAAGACCCCAAGAAGGAGTTAGAAGCATAAGGGAATTCCTTGAGCGAGACCAGCGAAAGGAGCAGGAGTAGGCAGGGGAAGGATCCAGAATGTGATTGCAGCTTTGACCCCTGTGGAAGGAGAGAGGGAAGAAACAGCAGGTGGGAAGGGCTTCAGATGCAGCATGCTTGGGGAATCTCAGCCCAGCAGGGTCTCTGGCATCCAGATGGCCATGGAGGGGTCCCAGTTGGACAGGAATGGGGAGCCCACAAACCTCCCCAGGCTCAGGAGCTGTCTGAAGTGTCCAGAGAAGTGTGAGGCCTTGGACTGAATGCTGGGCATATCCCACAGGCATCGCAGCTGGAGGCTGTCAGGCACCTGTCCTACTGCAAGCAGGTCCCTGCTCTCTGGGAGGGAGATGTGGGCAGGACATCTCCAGTGCCAAGGATGGGCCTCCTGTCGGGGAGGGAGACTTCAGTCTGAGGGGGAAAGCAGGGCAGAAAAGTAGAAGACAATTTGGAAATCATGAGAAAGCCCATTTGTCTAGAACAGGGGGTGAGCAGAGCGCTGGGGAAATTCAGGACCAGGCCAGAGAGTTGGAGTGGCCTTGGCCTTTGACTGAAGGTTTCAGCTGGAGACAAAATGTGAGATACGCCTGCTTTTGAGAGGAATCTAGCAGTGGTGTGGAATATAAATGGGATGGGAAGACTCTGGGGCAGCAGACCCTCCTGAGAGGAGGGTGTCAGCATCCAATGCTAGTTGTAGCTTTTTTTTTTCTTTTTTTTTTTTTTGTGGGACCTGGGGTTTGAACTCAGTGCTTCATACTTGCAAAGCAGGTTCTCTATCGCTTGAGTCCCACATCCGGTCCATTTTGCTCTGGTTATTTTGGAGACAGGGTTTTGTGAACTACTTTGCCCAGGTTGGCCTCAAGCCCAGATTCTCTAGAACTCAGCCTCCCAAGTAGCTAGGATTATAGGCATGAGCAACCAGCACCCAGCTTCTGGTTGTAACCTTGACCTTGAGGAAGACAGTCATAGCTCACTTAACTAGAATGGGGAGAGAGGACTCTCTGGTTGTGCACATTTAAGGTCATGGCTAAATATGGGAGCCAGAGTGGGGAGACAACCTAGGGGAGTCTGTCTGGTTGAAAATGTCTGAGTAGGGGACTAGATTCCATCTCCTGCCTCCCTGGGAAAGCAAGCTGGTGGGGACAGGCTGGGGTCTCAGGCTTGGGGCACTATGGGTATGCCAAACTGCTCATAGGCCTCCTGCTTGCCCTCTTCCTGAAGGACGGCCCAGAGGCAGGGGCAGGCTTTTCCCTGTTTATGAGGCCCCTTCCCCTCTACCCTCCCAAACTGGCAGACCCCACCTTCTAGTGACCTAGAGCTTAGCACAGCCTGTTCCTTCCAGCTGATCTGCCTGCCAACCCCACACCCAGGCCCACCCCAATCTTATCCTCCACTACTTTTCAAAGGAGTCCGGCCAACACAAATTCACATGTTTGTTTGTCTGCCTGTCTGCCTCTCCCAGTCTCTGCCTCTCCCTGTCTCTCGGCTTTTGCCTCTGTCTCTTAATCTCTCTTAAGTCTCTGAGGTCTCAAACCCACAAGTTTTCCACCTCTGTGGACCCAGATGTCCAGCTCCTGACCTTTTCTGTAGTCTCCAGATGGTATAAAACTACAAACCCCAGCATGCACTTCTACTCAAGGTGCCCAAAGGGTGCTGATGCACACTCTCTGCATTATGGGAATTGTAGTTTGTCTAGCCCATACTCAAGGGGCCTCCAAGCTCTCCCCCACGGGCCCTCCTGCCTCCACCCTGATTGCCAGGTCTCTGCTGACCTGCTGCCCCAGGGAAACATGCGTCACTGGATGACAGAGTGGGGGTGGAGGCCCTAGAAGCCAGCTTCCTGCCCTTTTGTATCCCCCACTTGAGTCATGGGGGGTGGGGGAGAAGTTTCCAGGAAATTGGGGTGGAGGTGGGAGAAGGGATACCCTAATATCAGACACAAGGACCTGTATCCCCAAGAACTCCTAAGGACATTAAGGTGGTGAAAGAGAAGGCCGGGGTGAGCCTAGCAGTCCCTGGGGTCACTAGAGGTGCAAGATTTCATCACCCCAGCTACTGGCATGGGGCTCAAAGCCCTTCCCTTCTGTCCTAAAACTACCAAAGCATCTTTCTGACCCTCTGGTTGCTCTACCCCGCCGTTCCCCCCAAGCCCAGCTCCCGTTCTCCAGCTCTAGGTCTCAGTTGGACACCTGGGTTCCCACTTATCAGAACTAGCCCTCCTGGCGGAACCCAGGCGTCCGGCCCCCCTCTGGGCCAGCGGGCGTGGAGCCGAGGCTTTAGAGCCTCTAAGCCGGCCTTGTTCCTGTCCCATTGTGTATGGGACAGGGGCGGGGCCAGGGCCCAGCACTGGAGAGCCCCCTCCACCACCCCTTCCTCAGCCCCCTCCCTGCTTCCTAAGGAAAAGGCCAGGGCTCTGCTGGAGTGGGCAGCAGAGTTGATGCACGGCTGACATGGGCAACTTGAAGAGTGTGGGCCAGGAACCTGGGCCACCCTGTGGCCTGGGGCTGGGACTGGGCCTTGGACTGTGCAGCAAGCAGACCCCGGCCTCTCCAACATCAGAGCCCAGCCGGGCACCAGCATCCCCACCCCCGACCTCACCAGCGCCAGACAACAGGTGAGGGCCACATGGCTAGGAGCAGGTGGGTGGGAGGACTGTGTGGAGACCTGAAGCCAAGGCTAGGAAGGGCCAGAGTTTGCAACCCTACCAGAAGGGCCAGGAAGCCAATGCAAAAGGCTATCAGCATGGACAGAATAGGACAGGTCTGAAGGCTTAGAAAAGAGATCAGGATCAAGGCCAGCGGGTAGCAGGTGAAAGTGGTGAATACCAGAGCCTGCTACAGAATTGGGCCATGGCTTGAATTCTGTTCTGCTGCCAAGAGCTGTTTGATTTTAAGACCCTCTCTGAGCCTCCGTTTACATTAAGTGGGAACGTGGTAGTACTTACCCCATGGGGTTGAAAGTTGCTAGTTCACAGCAAGCCTTCAACACATGGTGGTGATGATTACTTAACTGAAGAAGACAGGAGTTGGGGAGGGGTATTCTAGGTTGAGTGAGAAAGTGGGGTGTCATTGGAAGAGGAATGGTTTAAGCAGGAGACTCTAGCCCTTGGGGCAGGGGCTGAGAGTCAGTGCTAGTAGGCCCTTTCCCTGCTCCAGGCCCCCCTCCTAATATTGGTAACACCAAACTGGATCCTGTAGCTCCAGCCCCCAGGAATCCTCCCTGGGGCTGAGGTCCCTGGAGAGAAGGAGAATCAGGAGTTCCAGTAGAATACTGGGCCAGGCAGCTCCCGTGTAGGGCTGAGAGCTGGGCTCTGCTGCTCAGACGCACCATGGCCTGAGTCCCTCCCTTCCTCCCTGTGCTGGCTGGTGACTCTGGGAGGAAGTGATAAGGCCCCAAGGCTTCCCTTCACACAACGCTACTGTCAGGAGGGGTGTGAGTGGTAGGAAAATCAGAGCGGAGGAATCCCTGCGGGGGGCTTCCCTCAGCTCTGGCTCTTGGCCCTGTCCCCCCTCAAGAAGGGGCCATGCCCTTGTTCATTTACTGTTACTACAACACGATCCTGGAGACCAGGAGACTTATAAAAAGTAGAGGTTTATTTCTCTCGTGCCTCTGGAGGCTGGAAATCCAACAGCATGATCCTAGCACCTGTTCTACATCCTCACATGGTGGGGAATATTACATGGAGAGACACAGCAAGCAGGTCAGAGAGCTCACTTTTATAACAGAGCAACTCCCACTAAGACCCACTAATTTATTAATCCATTAATCTATGACTGGATTGATCCATTCATGAGGGCAGAGCCCTCTTGACCCCATCACCTCCCAACACCTACCTCTCAACACTGCCACATTAGGGACCAACTTTCCAACATATGAAATTGGGAAGACACATTCAAACCATAGCAACACCTGGAGTACAGAAGAGGCAAGGTGGGCAGTGTACAGGAAATGAGGACCCAGCCTGGGCTGGCACTCAGAAACTGGGCAGGTCTAGGCAACCAGGACAATCTGAGCACCAGGAGACCAGGCGCCAGCAGAGCAAAGGCCACACCTGTGCACTCCAGGCAGGAGGCCTCCATCCCTTGTCTATAGACAGAGGCTAGAGTACTGCCTACCTCCTAAGCTGTTGTGAGAGCTGACAAAATGTAAGGAAGCAGACAGCAGGCAAACGATAAAGAATTGGGATAATTGATGGATGCTGTAGGAGACTTGGAGCTGCATCTGGAGAGGCCAAAAGGAAACAAACATCTCCCCCATGACTCCATTCTTGCCTCCCAACAGCCCCCCACTAACCCGGCCTCCAGAGGGGCCCAGGTTCCCTCGAGTGAAGAACTGGGAAGTGGGCAGCATTGCCTATGACACCCTGTGTGCCCAAGCTCAGCAGGTGAGGATGGGTGGAAGGTGAGGCTTGGTCTCAGCTAGGGATCAGAGTGAGGAAATTCTGCCCTGCTCTGAATTGGGCCCTTGTCTCCAAAAAGATGAGAACTGGGAAAGTCCAGAGCTGCTGAGGAGCATGTAAGGACCTTGGTGACTCTCAGCCCCCAGCTTTTACCAAAGTCCTAACCCCAGTTCTGCCCTAGGCCTGTCTAACCTCACCCCACTTCCAGTCTCAGTGTGGACCCAAGTCCACACCTACCCTGGACCCGCCCCGCTCTGCCCCAAACTATCTCCAGTCCCTGCCACACCACAACCATCCCTGAGTCCTGATCTGGTGCTGACCTTTGTGGTCCCCATTCCCCTAACCCAGGATGGGCCCTGCACCCCAAGACGCTGCCTGGGATCCCTTGTGTTTCCAAGGAAACTACAGAGCAGGCCTACCCAGGGCTCACCACCCCCTGAACAGCTGCTGGGTCAGGCCAGGGACTTCATCAACCAGTACTACAGCTCCATCAAGAGGTGAGGCCTCATCCAACACTTGGCGTCCCCTCATCCCACAGAGTCCTAGAGCCCTCAGATCACCTCCCTCCGCCCTGCCCTCCCCCACAATCCTAACACCAAGGCCTATGGGCTCTCCCTTCTTGTTCTGTGTCCCTGTCTCCTCCCCAGGAGTGGCTCTCAGGCCCATGAGCAGCGACTTCAAGAGGTAGAGGAAGAGGTAGCATCTACAGGCACCTACCAGCTCCGGGAGAGTGAGCTGGTGTTCGGGGCCAAGCAAGCCTGGCGCAATGCTCCCCGCTGTGTGGGCCGGATCCAGTGGGGAAAGCTACAGGTGTGGCCAGCTGGCACATGGTCTGGATGGGCACCAGGGGAAAAGAAGGGGAGGCAAGGGTGAAGGCAATTCCTGAGGCCTCCCTGGGGGTGACGAGCAGTTGGGGAATCTCTTCCCATTGCCTTAAAGATGAAAGGAAGGGGACCAACCCCTCCCTGGTGCCCCTGGGAGCCCTCAGCCCAGTAGCTGCCACCTAGTCAAGAGGCCTTATAGCAATGCCTTGGAAAACTCCAGGCCCACTGAGTACACAGGGACTGCTGATTAGGGACCCCCTGAGTGGCTATTAGAGGAACTTTGGAACAGCTTTGGAAAAGGCCTCCAGCTGCTCCTGCCATGTGGGCCCCACTGCCCAGCTGGGCCCTTTACCTCATGCCTTCCTCTTTCTGCTGGTCCCCCACAGCCTCAGCCCCAGACCCCCTTACACACGCAGCCAACAAGTCAGAGTTAGCCTGGGTTACTGGGACAGCTGGGCCTCACAACTAAGAGAAGCAAGGGACCCACAGAGGAATTGAACCCATGACCTTGGGAGTTCTAAGTAGCCACCAAAGAATGTGGAATAAAGCCACATGCTCAACAGATGCCAAAGTTGTCTCCAGTAAAGCAATGACTCCCGTCTAACACTTGCCAATCCCTGTAAGTTGTTCAAAGCTTTAACTCAACTTTGAACCCATCTGAGCTTCTATAAGGGGCTCCACTCCCAGCTATGTCCCTCTTTTGGCCCAGGCCAGACACTTCCACCTCTGCCTCTGTCACAAGTTTCCCCCTCCCTCCAGCAGGAATGGGTCCTCCCAGCTTCCTCCTCCTACCAAGAATGTCGCATTGGCAGGGGCCCCAGAAGCCATACAGGGCAGCCACCACTTTCCAGCAGCAGTGAGCTCAAGGGAGAAGGATGACTGACTGAGCAGGCAGTCATTATCCACTCTCTGAGGTGGGCATCCTGTCCACTGGGGTCCTTCCCCAAGCGTCGATTCAGCAGTGACTGGGTCCCTCCTCTGTACCAGGTACCAAAGCAGCTTCCAGAAAGATAGGGAAATATATGCCCCAGGAAGGAGATCAGGCTACATTGGGCATGTGAGGGCACAGGTAGGAAATGATCAGCATAGATGCAAACAGTTAGGAAGGACTCGTCAAATGGACAGAGTGGCTTTCCCAGCCCTGCCTCCTTCCCAACGAGCCACACACCAAGAGCACTGTGGATCTGGTACTCAAGACCCCCACCTCTCTCCTTGCCCCTTCCCCTGCCTCCTTGGGCTCAGGTATTTGATGCCCGAGACTGCAGGACTGCCCAGGAAATGTTCACCTACATCTGCAATCACATCAAGTATGCCACCAACCGAGGCAACCTTCGGTGAGTGCTCCCCTACTGCACCAGAGCTCAGCTCACTCCAGGTGGAGTGAAAGAGGGGCTCTGACCAGCTCTCCTCCCCACATCAGCTCCGCCATCACAGTGTTCCCCCAGCGCTGCCAAGGCCGCGGAGACTTCCGGATCTGGAACAGCCAGTTGGTGCGTTATGCTGGCTACAGGCAGCAGGATGGCTCTGTGCGAGGGGACCCTGCCAACGTGGAGATCACTGAGGTGGGTGCTGAGGCGAGAATGAGCCATGGGGATCAACCAAAGAGAGGTGAGCTAGTAGGAAGAGGGGATTGAGTCCGTGCTTGGTATGAAAGATGGGAGATGCCACAGAACAGTGTCCCCGAGGTGAAGACTGACTGATGAATGATGGAGAGGATCTCTGTGGAGTTTAGGGGTCAAAGCCCTTGGACCCACCTCTGCCCGCTCCCCACAGCTCTGCATCCAGCATGGCTGGGTCCCAGGAAATGGCCGTTTTGACGTACTGCCCCTGCTGCTCCAGGCCCCTGATGAGCCTCCAGAACTCTTCACTCTGCCCTCTGAGCTGGTCCTCGAGGTGCCCCTGGAGCACCCCACGTGAGCATGAAAGGAATGGGGTGGGATGGCAAGGAGGGGCTGTGGAGGGCACCTGGCAAAGGCTCTAGGGGGTTGATCCTAGCTTGGCACCCCCAGGCTGGAGTGGTTCGTGGCACTGGGCCTGCGCTGGTACGCCCTCCCGGCAGTATCCAGCATGCTTCTGGAAATTGGGGGCTTGGAGTTCCCTGCGGCCCCTTTCAGCGGCTGGTACATGAGCTCTGAGATCGGAATGAGGAACCTGTGTGACCCTCACCGCTACAACATCCTGGAGGTGAGGGGCTGCCGTAGGGAGGGGACACAGAGCTGCATGCCACACACTGTCTGATGGCCTGCCCCTGGAGATCTGAGCTGCATCAGAACCACCAAGGCAAAGCGGAGTGCAGCACGCACATGCGGTGTGTGTGTGTTGTGCATAGTGCAAGTGGCATGGTGTATGTCGTATGTGTGCCATGGCGTGGGTGTGTGTGGTGCATGTGGTGTGTGAAGTATGGTGTGTGTGTGTACACAGTGTGGGTGGTGTGGTGTGTGGTGTTTGTGTGGTATGTAGTGTGTATGTGGTGTGGTGTGTGTGTACACTGTGTGTGCGTGGGGGGGTATATGTGGTGTGGTGTGGCATGGTGTGGTATGATATAGTATGGTATGGGGGGGGGCACATGCCTGTGGTTATTTTTCCAGAGTTGTGATCTATAATTCTATAGCTTTCATCAGAATCTCAAAGGGGATCTTGACTCAAAAAAAGGTAATTTCTCATCTCATTTCAGAGATGAGAAATTAAGGCCCAAGGCTTAGAAGTGACTCACCTAAAGTCCCTGTCTGATTTGTGGTGCCACTGAGGCCAAAAACTGATGTAACCCACAATGGGTAGTAAAGCCCCCTTGAGGCCACTCTCTCACATTCCTTCTACCCACCAGCTGTCCACTCCCCATTTGCCATTGTACCTACCAATGCCCTGCTTGCCCTACCCCAGGATGTAGCTGTCTGCATGGACCTGGACACCCGGACAACCTCGTCCCTGTGGAAAGACAAGGCAGCAGTGGAAATTAACGTGGCTGTACTGCACAGTTACCAGGTGCACAGGCCCAGGCTTGCCAGTAGGGCAAAGGGCGGGGGTGGGAAACAAGGAGAGGGCGAAGGTAGAAACTAGGGCAGGGCTTAGACAGGAGGAAGTTCCAGAGTACGTATGCCATGGAGTACACTGGGCCTGCAGCTGTGGACACAGCATATGCTATTCCTGGCCCAACATGTGCCAGGAAACTCACTCAGTAATTCTATCCCCAGGCCATATTGTGGGACCCACTGGAGTCTGGAAACTTAATACCAGGAGGGTAGTGTGTGCTGCAAGGGGTAGTTTGAGGAAACTGGTGCCTGCTGAACATTTCTGTGGGGACTCAAGAGTTACGGAAGGGCTGTGGATATGGCTCAGTGGCAGCATGCTTGCCTAGCAATTGGGCCCTGAGTTCAGTCCCCAGCACTGAAAAAAAGGAGTTATGATAGATAGGGTTGGTAAGAGTGGCTCAAGTGGGAGAGCACCTGCCTAGCAAGCATGAGGCCCTAAGTTCAAACCCCAGTGCCACACACACACACACACACACACAATGAGATTAAATAATTATTAAAAATATAATAAGATATAATTTTTTTAAAAGAGTTATGGTTTGGAGGCAAGGCACACAGACACTGGAAGTTAGAGTTGAACTTTGGGCATGACCAGGCAAGCTGCAGTTTGGAGGTATCACTGTGGTTTGAGGGGACACAGTCTATGTCAGGTTTGCAGTGACTCAAGGGACAGTGTGGGTTGGGGTAAACAGAAGTGGTAGAGATAAAGGTGGGGACTGCACTGAGCCCTGCCTCTCTTTCTCCTCCCACCTCAGCTGGCCAAAGTGACCATTGTGGACCACCATGCTGCCACAGCCTCGTTTATGAAACACCTGGAGAATGAGCAGAAGGCCAGGGGTGGCTGCCCTGCTGACTGGGCCTGGATCGTACCCCCCATCTCGGGCAGCCTCACTCCTGTCTTCCATCAAGAGATGGTCAACTATTTCCTGTCCCCTGCTTTCCGCTACCAGGTGCCCACCCCAGCTAGCTCCTGCCCACTTGAGCCCAGTTCTAGGGCTCCCAGGAACTGTTAACTTTTCCATCCTTCACTCTCCTCCCTATTTCTGCCCCCATCACTTTCTGTAGCCAGACCCCTGGAAGGGGAGCGCAGCCAAGGGTGCCGGCATCACCAGGAAGAAGACCTTTAAGGAAGTGGCCAAGTGGGTACCCTAGAAGTGCAATCCTCCCCTGATTGGTCCTGGGGGGGACCAACCCAGCAGTGGTGCCCCAAGACCCTTCTGGGATCTGGGGAGGCCCCGCCTCTGGACACCCAGGATGTCCTCACCCTATTCTTGCCTACAGTGCAGTGAAGATCACTGCCTCGCTCATGGGCACAGTGATGGCAAAGCGCGTGAAGGCAACCATCCTGTATGGCTCAGAGACTGGCCGGGCCCAGAGCTACGCACAGCAGCTGGGGAGGCTCTTCCGGAAGGCGTTCGATCCCCGGGTAGGTGAACCCAGAGGGGCAGGGAGCTAAAAGAGGGGTGTTCTGTCAGCAGCTTCAGAGGATCTCAGGAGACCAGGAGAGGGTCAAAAGTCAGGGCTCATGAGGAACCCTGGAGTCCACAGGATTTAAGGTCAAGTCAGGGCCTGAAACTTGCTCTTCTAGGGAAGCCCAGAGTGAGGAGGACAGGGACCAAGACTACGGGACATCTCTCTTCTCCTCACCCACAGGTCCTGTGTATGGATGAGTATGACGTGGTGTCCCTTGAGCATGAGACACTGGTGTTGGTGGTGACCAGCACATTTGGGAATGGAGATCCCCCAGAGAATGGAGAGGTAAGGTCTTCTAGGACAGGGGTCACTGGGAATGAGGATGGCAAGTGAAAATGCCAAGGGAAAACCCCCAGTAGGAGTGTGGACCTGCTATGGGGAACCTTGGTCCATACAAACCATATCCCACACCTCCCAGCACATACCTGCTTAATTGTATTTCCAAGTCATCTCCATTATCAGTGCAAGTTTTCAATTTGAGGAAAGCATTTCCTGACTGACCAAAGAGGTCAGACTTCTCCTGGGTATTGATTGACAAATAAGAAAAACAGGGATACTTCACTCAATTCCCTATTTCAGCTTTTCTTTTTATTTTTTTCTTTCTTTTTTTTCTGGCAGCACTGGGGTCTGAAGTCAGGGCTTCATGCTTGCTAGGCAGGCACACTCTTACCATTTGAGCCACTCACTAGCCTTTTCTTTTTCTTTGTAACAAAAGAAAAGAACACTGTTTAGATGCCAACATAGGTTAAATAATTTCACTTGCTCAACAAATCTTAAAAGAAACAGAAAAAGTGAAGTATCACCGTTGAATGCCTTATTGTTTACCACTGTCTTTCCAGTGCCTCTGGGCTACCCCAAGCTAGATGCAGTTCTGCCCTCTTTCTTCTCCCGGGGGTTAAATACTACCTCCTCTAGTACTATAAAGCTAAATGCCCTATCTGAGTTCAGATGGTAGTCTTTTCCCTCTGCTTCTGGTCCATATCAACCCTCACTCTGATATGCCTTCTAAAAAACAGCACCTGCCTCAGCAGGTGGGGTCTCCTTGCTGTGCCACAATGTGGCAGAGGGCATCAAATGGTGAGAGAGAGGGAACATGCCAGAGAGAGCTCACTTTTATAACAAAGACGCTCTTGCTACAACCCACTAATCCATTAATCCATGAATGGATTAATCTATTCACCCAATCACCTCCACGTACTACTAACATATGACTTAGGATTAATTTTCCAACACATAAATTCTGTGGGTAAACACTCAAACCATAAGCAGCATCATGAATTAACTTTTTTTAGCATAAAATAGTATATGCATCTGTGTAACCCACATTCCAAACAAGACGGGATATTTCCATCAGTCTAGAAAGCTCCCCATTAGTTCCTGTGCGTCAGTCTCCTTCCCTGAGCAACTGTGACTTCTGTCACAATAGGTGGGATTCATTTGCTCCAGAATGTCATATAAATGGAAGCATACAGTTCCATAGCTTCTGTCACATGGCCTATTCTGGGGATTCCTCTGTGTGGTTGTATGATTCAGTACTTTTTTACTGCTTATTGTGTGAGCTGCCCTGGCTTGTTTATCCATTCTCCTGTTGATAGACACTTGGGCTGCTTCCAGTTTGGGGCTGTTATGAATAAATCTGTTATGAACATTCTTGTAGCAGGCTTTTGTGAACTTATGTTTTCATTTTTCTTGGATAAATACCGATGAGTAGAATTGCTGGGTCGCAGGGTAGATGTAAGTTTAACTTTTTTTTTAACTGCCGAATGACCAAACAAATTGCACTGCACTCTAAAGATTTGTGCATTTCAGTTTTACTACAAAATTTGTAAATGGAACAAATATAGGAATATGCCCCACAGAAAATGGAATATATCCACCAAAGATATGGACAGAAATATTTATAACAGCATTACGCACTGTAATGAAAACAACTCAAATGATAATCAACAATAGATTGGATAAATAAGTTGTGGTGTATTCAAATGTGATACAGCAATAGGTTTAAACAGGGGTGAGGATGTAGCTCACATGGTAAAGTGCCTGTCTAACAAGCACGAGGCCCTGAGTTTAACACCCACTGCCATCAAAAAAAGAGAAAAGAAAGAAACACATAAATACACACATGGGCATAAATGCCCACATCCCCCAACCTAGGACAGGACAGTGTAACTTACGACATTTTACTTTATGATAATGTGAAAGTAATAGACATCCATTAAAAAACATATTTCTTCTTTTTTTTGGTGGCACTGGGGTTTGAACTCAGGGCCCCATAATTGTCAGGCAGGTGCTCTTACCACTCTGCAGGCCCTTTTTGTGTGTGTGTGCTGGGTCTTTTCAAGATAGGGTCTCAAGAACTATTTGCCCAGGGCTGGCTTTGAACCTTGATGCTCGGGATCTCTGCCTCCTGAGCAGCTAGGATTATAAGCGTGAGCCACTGGCACCTGGCTTAGAAACCATATTTCAAATCTTGAATTTGAGTCTTTACCCAGACTAGAGATATGTGGTAGGATCCTCTATTTCAGTGCTTTGCAGTGGCAAAGAATCGCAGCTCCCCACCAGCCCTGCAATCACCAGGGGAAACAACCAACATTCTACATGTGCTGTGTTGCTGAGAATGTGCAGGAACAAAGGTGTAGGAAATGCATTTTCCCCTTACAGTATTTCCAGTTTACAATGGGTTTATTAGGACATAACCCCACTGTAAGTCAAGGAGCATGTGTGCGGTGATAAAGGGCCAAATGGTTTCTCTGTTGATGGGGCTTATGCTGTAGAGGTAAGACTCGAGCACAGAGAAGGCTTGTCCTCCTTGTATTACTTCATACACTTCTGCAGTGTAATTTTTCAAAACCCAACCCTCTTGAAATTTGCAAAACAAATTTATTTATAAGTTACTAAGGGCCAGCACAGTATAGTTTGAAATTTCTGTATAGTGTGAAAATAACTAACCATGCTGGTAACGCTTCCCTGGGCAGAGTTTTGCAGCAGCGCTAATGGAGATGTCGGGACCCTACAACAGCTCCCCTCGACCAGAGCAGCACAAGTGAGTAGACACGGCAAATTGAGATGGCAGGAGGCACTCGGAGACAAAAAGGAAAGAGCCCCACCCCACCCCTTCCCCAACAAGCTGAGAAAGAGAGGGAGCCTGGGTGCCAATCCAGATGGAGGAAAGGGGAGTGGGGGGGGGGCTCTCCTCCCCTAGGACCTGCCCACTCCCAAGCCCCAGGATTCAAAGACCCTAAAATCCTGAGGTCTCATTCAGAGGGAGGAGAGGCAGAGCAAAGCCCCCCTAGGCTATCCCTCAACCCTTCCCAAACACAGAGCCCTTCTCACCCCAGAGGTGAAGACACTAAAACTGTATCCTAGGTTGGGCCTGGGCCATATCTCCAGGTCCCTGTGACAACCCTGTCTTTATCTTCTCTTGCTAGGAGTTACAAAATCCGCTTCAACAGTGTCTCCTGCTCAGACCCACTGGTGTCTTCTTGGCGGCGGAAAAGGAAGGAGTCCAGCAACACAGACAGTGCAGGGGCACTAGGCACACTCAGGTTGGGGTCCTTGCCAAAGAAGGTGTATGGGAGGCAAGCTGCCTGGATAGACATTGGCTGGCATGGGGGACTCTAGCAATGGTTCCTGCACCTCAGGTTCTGTGTGTTCGGGCTGGGCTCCCGGGCGTACCCCCACTTCTGTGCCTTTGCCCGGGCGGTGGACACAAGGCTGGAGGAGCTGGGTGGAGAGCGACTACTTCAGCTGGGCCAGGGCGATGAGCTGTGTGGCCAAGAGGAGGCCTTCCGTGGCTGGGCCCAGGCTGCCTTCCAGGTAAGCCCCTGGGCACCCAATGTCTGATTCCCTCCAGCCCCTCATTCTGACTCACATCAACTTGAGAGCCTCCTGCAGGCCTTCACGGCTGAGGCTGAAGGCCTCCCTGATTCTGTCTAACCCCAAATCCACTTTGTTTAACCACTGTATAGCAGCCATTCTGGGCTTAGTCCTGAATAGTGGACAACATGGTCCTACCAACAGGAGAGGATGAGCCTAGACAGCAGCACAACCAAAAGAAAGCAGGCAGGACTGGCAGAAAGCCACCTCAGCCAGCACAGGCTGGCCCCATAAGTGGGTTCACAAGAGGAGGGAGTGCAGGCAGGATGGAGGGAGAAGACAGAATTGAGGGAGAAGACAGGATTGAGAGAGTCAGACAAAGGCCGGAGCTGAAGCTAAGGCCACCAGGAGGTCCAGGAAGTCAGAGGGCAGACTGGCATGGGCAATTGCTTGGACTGGAGGGGTGGTCCTGTCTAGGTAAGGGTCCTAGAGACTGGACCCTCACCTAGAAGGTGAGGTTTTTTAAGCTTGGGTTTCCTCAGGGCAGTGCTATCTGTCTGAGGATTACACCTGGAGCAAGCAGTTGCTCATTCTCCCAGTGCTGACACTGCTCACTCAGTGCAGGGCTGCCCCAGCATCCATCCATCCATCCATTCATCCAGGCTCATGTTCAGCAGGTTTCAGTCAATGGCAGGAGAAGGGTATCCTTGGAAGTGGGGGATGGGAAAGGTTTGCTGGAGAGAAAAAAGTCAAGCTGGAAAAGCAGATCTAGATTGGAACGAAATAAATGGAAAATAAGATCTAGAGCCACAAAAACAAAAACAAATATCTAGATCCAGGCATGGTGGTGCACACCTGTAAGCCCAGCACTCAGAAGGCTGAGACAGGAGATCATGAGTTCAAGGCTAGCCCAGGTTACATAGCAAGACCCTGTCTCAAAAGAAAGAAAATAAGACTTAAGGAACATAGATAAGAGGAGCCAGTGGAAGGTTTAGAACAGGATGAGACCACAACACAAAGTTTTAGGAATATGACTTTGGTGGTGCAGGCAAATTAGAGCATCCGAGAAAGCAGGAAGACTGGGCTTACTGGGGAGGTAGCAGTGAGTATAGGAAGGAAGGGAGGGGGCTGAGGAAGGAAGGAAGAGATATAAGACTGCACACACCACAAAAGAAACAGTAACTAGGGCCCAATGATATGGGGCTCAGCCAATCATGGAAGAGTCCTGGATCTCAAGCCTGGAACAGACCAAGCAGCTGGCCCAACTTGTACCTGACCAGAAAGAGATAGCACAGGGCCCCTCCACTGCCGGTAAGACAGCACTGACTGCATATGCTGTGTTCTAAGGGCTTTGCATACAGTATCACTTTTAATCTTCACCAGAACACAATGAGTGGCAAGATGGAGAAAACTGAAGCATGTAAGACATACGTACAAAGTCAGAATTCGAAAGCAGGTGTGAGTGCACAGCTGCCTTCACTGAGCCACTATATGCCACACCCTGTGCTCCCTGGAGTATGGGATTAACACTCACCTGACAAGTACCCAGCAGGTGTGACAAACCAATATGCACAAGGAGTAGCCAGCAGGGTCCCTGAGCCAGCAGCAAAGCCAAGAAATGGGCTGGAGAACAAGGTGCCATGGTCATTACTGGCCTCAGCCTCAGTCTGTTGCAATCTCACTTATACCACTGCCAATAACAGAGCCACAGTCCTGGCTTCTTTGGCCACAGGAGTGGAAGCTGGCTTCTGGAGATCAGACAGGCACAGCCTGACCTCCCTCAAACACCGCTCCACAGCATCTCAATGGCGATGCTCCCTGGTGGCAGGAGGTTCTCAGCCCTGGTCTACTTATCCCTCAGGCCTCCTGTGAGACCTTCTGTGTGGGAGAAGACGCCAAGGCTGCTGCCCGGGACATATTCAGCCCCAAACGCAGCTGGAAGCGCCAGAGGTATCGGCTGAGTGCCCAGGCCGAGGGCCTGCAGCTGCTGCCAGGTACAGTCCTGACCTCACCCCCATCCGCAGGCTCTCTGGGGTTCCCAGGGTCCAAGGACTCACTTATTCAGGCCCCGCTCCCTGGCTCAGGCTCAGTCTCCTTTGCACCCTCCTCATCCTTAGGCCTGATCCATGTGCACAGGCGGAAGATGTTCCAAGCTTCAATCCTCTCCGTGGAAAATCTACAAAGCAGCAAATCCACGTGAGGAAGAAGTCTCACTCTACCCTCTCCACTATCACTGTCCATCCTTCCCCAGATCCCTGCTTCCTCCTCCTCCCATTCTCTCATCCCCCACCCTTCTCTGTCCCCCTAAAACTTCCCCCTCCCTTCCTATCCCCAGCCGGGCCACGATCCTGGTGCGCCTGGACACTGGAGGCCAGGAGGGGCTGCAGTACCAGCCCGGGGACCACATAGGTGTCTGCCCGCCCAACCGTCCTGGCCTCGTGGAGGCACTGCTGAGCCGTGTAGAGGACCCACCGCCACCCACAGAGCCTGTGGCAGTAGAGCAGCTGGAGAAGGGCAGCCCTGGTGAGGATGTCAGGCTGGGGCAAGACAGGGAGAGCCTGCTGCATCTCCCTGGCCTGGGACCCCCTTGGAGCTCAGCCCTGGCAGGACCACCTCCCTTTACAGCTCTGCACTACCTTGAAGTTAGCTATACAAGCCCAGCAGGGCCGGCCTTGTTGCTGGATGGTCCACACAAAGCAAAGTTCCTTTCTCAGAACCTACCTGCTTCATGCACCCCCAAAGGCTGTCCCTCCCTCTGAGTTCCCAAAGACTCCCTCTGGCAGTCTAGCTTGCTCTGTATCTGATGTACCATCTGCCAAATCAGTGCCTGGGGCAGAGGAGCCTAGACCAACCCATTCCACCCAGGGGTCCCCAAAGAAACACTGAAGCTGCCCAGATAAATCCACACCACTGTTCAAGGGCAGATTCCAATAAGACATGGTAAGGTCATGGTAAGGTCATGGTAAGGTCCCCCAAAGGCAAACTTCAGCCCAGGCAATGCAGTTCCTGCTGGGCCCCTTCCTCAGAGCTTCCCATGTACCACCCCCAGGTGGCCCTCCCCCCGGTTGGGTACGAGACCCTCGGCTACCCCCGTGCACACTTCGCCAGGCTCTCACTTTCTTCCTGGACATCACATCCCCACCCAGCCCACGCCTTCTCCGACTGCTGAGCACCCTGGCTGAAGAGTCCAGTGAGCAGGAGGAGCTGGAGGCCCTCAGCCAGGTAAGGGCAAGGAGCAAGGGGCTAGAGGGGAGGATAAGCGGGGGAGGCCCAGTGGCAGGAAGTCCCCATGAGAGGTCCTGCCTTGGACTTTCCTCTCCTGACCAACATGTATTGGTGTTTTAAAACCATCTCCAGGCTGACCCATTCATCTTCAGGCAGGTCTTAAAAAGGTGTTAGTTGGCCTGAACTGAGCAGGGAGGAACCCTAAGAAGGTCTACTAGGAAGGGGTCAAAAAGGGAGGTCACTATGCCAGTAATGGGGCTCCCAGCTTACCACATCCTGCCTGATCAGGACCCTCGGCGCTATGAGGAGTGGAAGTGGTTCCGCTGCCCCACGCTTTTGGAGGTGCTGGAGCAGTTCCCATCAGTGGCACTGCCTGCTCCCCTGCTCCTCACTCAGCTGCCCCTACTCCAGCCTCGGTACTACTCAGTCAGCTCAGCACCCAGTGCACACCCAGGAGAGATCCACCTCACCGTTGCTGTGCTGGCATACAGGACACAGGGTAAGGCTGGGAACAGGGCAGGCCTGGCTTCAGTAGGACTAGAACAGCTCCTCACTGGCCTCTCCTCTCCACCCCGTAGATGGACTGGGCCCCCTGCACTATGGAGTCTGCTCCACATGGCTAAGCCAACTCAAGGCCGGAGACCTTGTGCCCTGCTTCATCAGGGGGTAAGTGAACCCTTCAGGATAGGAAAGAACATCAAGAGGAGAGAATCTGTGTGCACGCAGGGGTGGAGAAAATGCCACAGGGGTGGTTGGGAATACATGAGGAATCGGTGTGTGTGTATGGGGGGGGGGTCACACAGAATCAGGTGGCAGCTCTGATGAGGAGTGCTATTCATAACAGATCAATAACAGGTAGGACTCACTAATGTGTACTTGGGATCCTGCCTTGAAAACTCCAAAAGACACAGCATGGATTAGGCTGGCAGTCTTGTTACTTTGTGAAATCAAGACTTCTGTGCACCTATGTCCTTGGGCACAGCCTATGTTGGAAGGCATGCACCTGGGACTGTGGTCCCGGACACCCCACTCAGTCCAGAGAGGACTTTGCTAGGGCAAAGACTATCCTTGGCATGGTGCCCCTGAGAAGTCAAAGAAGCCCCTTCCCTCCTGCTTTGCCCAGAATTCTTGCCCTCTCCAGCAGCCAGGACTGAGAAGAGTTCCCAAGATGGCAAAAGCTAGGCCTTGGGGACCCAAACCCACCCAGGAGGCTAAATTACAAATAAACTGTACCAGTCAACTCAATACAAACCAAATACCAATATGATGGCTATTATTTAAAAGAGCTGGACACCAGTGGCTCACGCCTGTAATTCTAGCTACTTGGGAGTCTGAGATCCAGAGGACTCAGCTACGAGGCAAGCCCAGACAAATAGTGAGATCCCCATCTCCAAAAACATAACCAGAACAAAATGGACTGGAAGCATGGCTCAAGGAGTAGAGCACCTGCTTTGCAAGCGCGAAGCCAAGTTCAAACCCCAGTCACACCAAAAAATAGAATAAACACAGTAAGCCCCTTATGAACTGAGAATCTGTACCCCTTTCCCTATATTTTTGTTGCTTTTTTAAAAAAAAACATTTTGTCTGCACCGCACACCCAACATCAGTAAGAATGGGGGGCACAGGGTCACTGAGGGGGCCTAATAGAGTCTCTCTGGCTAGGGCTCCCTCCTTCCGGCTGCCACCTGATCCCAGTTTACCCTGCATCCTGGTGGGCCCAGGCACTGGCATTGCCCCCTTCCGGGGATTCTGGCAAGAAAGACTGCATGACATTGAAAGCAAAGGTGAGACTGGGACTAAGGGACTGACTAGAAGTCAGGAGGAAGTCACACAATCTAGGGACAAAGGGTCTTGAAGGCAGGAAGCAGGTAGAAAAAAAAAGCGCAAGACACTCCAGCCAAAGGTGAAAGGAAATTTATTAGACCAAGGGTGGAGGACTGGAAGTAAGAGCTGGACTCTATTCGCCTGGCTTCCTGGTGCCTGGCACATAGTAGGTGTTGGCAGATTGTTAAGGAGAAAGGGAAATGAGAGTTTGGAAGGGACTGGGTGGGAACTCAGAAGTCAAGAGAAGAAATGCCCCAGGTGTGTTGGGGACTGTGCCAGAGCTTACATGGTGTGGCCAAGACGGCCCCCTTTCTAAAGCGGCTCCTCCTCTGGCCGTCCACCGTCAGCTCCGGTTTCCTTCTGTGTAAATCAGAGACAGATACATCAGGCTTTCGGGGAAAGCATCCTGTATTGCCCTAGAGGCCAAACAGCCAAGACAAGTTGTCGCTTCAGCCCAAAAGGCCGGCTGTCAGCCTGGGCGAGGGTAGCCAGTGGGCGGCGTGACCAGGGCTGGAGGGGGCCCTCCCGAGCCACAGTGTCGCTCGCAGGGCTGCAGCCCGCCCCTATGACTTTGGTGTTCGGCTGCCGTTGCTCCCAACTCGACCACCTCTACCGCGACGAGGTGCAGGACGCCCAGCAGCGCGGGGTGTTCGGTCACGTCCTCACCGCCTTCTCCAGGGAACCAAACAGCCCCAAGGTGCGAGATGCTGAGGGCCCAGGGGTGATCAAGAGCAGCCCGCCCGCCACCCACACTCCGCTCACCGGGTCCAGGTGCCCCTTCCGGGTGCGCCCTCCGCGCGCTAAGCCCCGCCCCTTCCTGGCTCGGTTCCCCAGCCCCGCCCCTTCCTGGCTCGGTCCCTAGCCCCGCCCCAGGGCCGTGGGCGGTGCCCCTCCAGCCCGCCGCGGAGCCGTTTCACAGCCGGGGTGGCCTGTCGCCCCGCTTCCTCCAGACCTACGTGCAGGACGTCCTGAGGACTGAGCTGGCTGCTGAGGTGCATCGCGTGCTGTGCCTGGAACGAGGCCACATGTTTGTCTGCGGCGATGTCACCATGGCAACCAGCGTCCTACAGACAGTGCAGCGGATCCTGGCGACAGAGGGCGACATGGAGCTGGATGAGGCGGGTGACGTCATCGGCGTGCTGCGGGTGAGGAGGGGCGGGGCTCCAGCCACCGGCGTCCCTGGTTTCCCCGCTCCGGTTTCGAGCTTGCCTTTTGATCCTCAGCTCTTTTGCCGCAGGATCAGCAACGCTACCACGAGGACATCTTCGGGCTCACACTGCGCACCCAGGAGGTGACAAGCCGCATACGCACCCAGAGCTTTTCATTGCAGGAGCGACAGCTGCGGGGGGCAGTGCCCTGGGCATTGGACCCGACTGGCCCAGACACGCCAGGCTCCTGATAGCCTGGCTTTCCACTGCAGCTCCTAGAGAGAGCTTCCGCACTGCTGTCGGCTGACCAGGGCCAAGCCACCTCTCTCCCCTCTTGAGGTGCCTACCAGCATCTGTCTGTCCTGAGGCTGCGGAAATTCAGCCCAGGGAATGAGAGATCCCCTGTCAGGGGTCTGCCTAATCTAGAAGTTCCTCCCAGAAGTGGTATTAGGACCTGCTGCTACCCCCTTGGTATGCTTTAGGTGAACTGTAGATTCCCCTTATAGCTCTCAGGAGTATTTTACCTTTAAAGCCTATCTCTAAATCATTCAAATATTTATTATTGAAGACTTATTATAAGAGACTGTACCAGATGTTGAGATGCCTAACCCAGCCACTGTGGATTAGTTATATTAAAAAAAAGAAAAAACGAAAAACAAGTTTTGTGTTTAAGCTTGTACAGATGTGGGGGTGGCAATTCTTGACAGTGAGTCCTACAAACACAGCCAATCACAGGCATTTCTCTTTGCTCTTGATAGAGAAAGCAGGTGCAGCGATCAGCTGCCAGGAGTGGGGCATGCCAGAAACTACCGCCACAAAGATGTGCAACACAGCCATGAGCAATCTTTACTGCTTATTTCACACAGGATGAGGTGCTCCACCCACTTCCTCAGACATCACAGCAGTGCTGAAGTTCAAAAACATCAGCCCTTTCTAATGTTTCCACTCTCAAGCCCTCCCCCCCAATACACACACACAGTCCCATGGGAACCTGAAGGGGAGGCCAGCAGAAAGAACCCGGCTTTCAGATCACGTGTCTTACTGCTTCCCTAACACAGCACCGCCTCGGCCTGGGACCTGCCCGACAACTTGAGGATGCTCAGGGACTTCTTCCCAGGCAACTGTGCCAGGACAGCCAGTTGGGGCGCTGTATCCTTAGCCCCCTCTGTGTGGGGACCATCTCTAAGACTTGTTTCCTGATGCCATAGTTGTCTCCTATCTGTTCCCTGGGGCGAGTTCCTCATTGACCCCCCCCCCAGGTCCTGCCCAGTTAAAGCATCCTGGACCTGTCATCTGTGGGGAGGAGGAGCTCTAAAGATGGCTCCATGTGTCCTTCCATGCCATGCCATCCTGTCCAATCTCCTGCAGCTGGAGAAGCCAGGAACCTGGGGGAAGAGAGAGCTCTTTCTTGGCAAGCATTCCAGGAGACTAGGTTCTAGAGATGACCACTCCCATCTCCCCAAATTTGACCAATGTTCCCATCCCTCTGAGACTGGTTCCAAACCAATTTCCTGTTCCTTCCTTCCACTCCAAAGTAGGCAATACTGACCTGAGGTGTGCTCTCAGTCAGTGCAAGGGGTATGGCCAGGCTCTTTCTGGGGATCTGTGGTCTCCTGAAATTCCCTAGGAACAGAGCCTGGGCCCTCTGGGTTCCCCACTGCTGTCTGGGACTGGAGGCAGGACTGGAACCTGGTGACAAAAGCCATCAGTTGAATAATGCCATGATTCCCAGCATCCATCCACCAGGACCTGCCCCTTGTACCCTACCCTCCTCACCATCACTTGACCAAGATGGCTTCTCCTCTTCAGGTGAGGCTGGCTGCGAGGGGCTGGACCAGGGCCTGGATGGGGAGGAGGCTGAAGCCTCCCCCCACAGTTCTTGCTGCTGCTGCTGATGAAGCTAGATGAAGGGAGAGGAATGAGGGGCTTCTTTCTGCCTGGGGGCACAAGCCCCTGTGCTAGGTACAGGGGACTTGAAACTCCTGTTAGGTATTTCTTAGTGTCTGACGCCCCTCCCAGTGTCCATTTTATTCCCTGCTTCCTCCCCACATCTCTCTTTCCGACAACCCTCTACTCACCTGGTGCAGATAGATGGCATGAAGACTCATTTCAGCAGAAGCAAGCTCTGGGAGCTGGGCCAGCTTCTGGCCCCCAGTGCCTCCTGGGGACACACAACTGGAACACAGAATGAAAAGGTCGAGATATGTCTCTTCCTCTAAGGAAGGCCAGGCTGCCTCTCCCCTTCCAAATTCCCTCAGCCACAAGCCAGACTCCCCTGCATCTCAGGCCTCCACCACTCACCTGGAGTCCTGGGCAATGCGGGAAATGGAGGCAAGGAGGCTGGCAGTAGCAGCAGCTGGGCAGGGGGCTGTGGGGCTCAGGTCCCTCGGGGGCAGAAGAGGTTGGCCAGGAAGGCTTCCGGCTGAACAAAAAAGGGAAAGCCAAAGGAAGCAGAAGAGGACAAGAAAGGAGAAGAGGCTGTTTAAAAAAGGCAACAGAGGGTAAGGCAAAGTGGGAAGAGAGGGAGAGAGGCAGAGGGTGGGAAGGGAAGAAAAGGGAGGCCAAGCCTAGGACTCACCAGAGGTGAGGTGCAGTCACTGAGCACCCCCGAGGTTGGGGGGCTGCGGGCTGAGGTACCACCCCAGGCAGCTGCATCTTGTTGTACACGGCCCCGAAGCTGCCCAAGGAACTTAGAGCTGTGCCCTGGAGGGCGCCATTGTGGATGTGCTAGGGAGAACCTCATCAAGGAGAGCTCTGTCTTTCCGTCCTCAGCACGTTGAGACAATGAGGCCTCGGTCTGTCCCTCAGAGAGCCACTGCAAGCAAGAAGGTCCTAGTGCTGGTGACACTGAGCCTCATGGGGTAGGTGGGACAGGAAGTATAGCCCCATGTTCCAGGTGAAGGAAAAGGCTGTAACAGGGACTTACTTAGGATCACCACACGACATAGGTGCCCAGTGTGGGGATATACCTTACCCCCTATGCAGACCGAATCCCCACTCAGCCCCACCTGCTGGCCAGCTCCCTCTATCAGTTTCTCTGATGGTCTTTGCTCCCATTTACTGCAGATTCTATGGGCTGGCAACTCTGTAAAGCACTCGACAGACTGGCATCTCAAGTCATTCTCAGAGCAAGCTGTACACTGGCTCACGAGATGAGGAAACTAAGGCACATAGAAGTGAAGTGACTTGGTGAAGGTCACAGATGGCAAGCAATGGAGCTGAAGTTGGAACCTAAATCTGCTTTAAATGAGGCAAGCAAACTCCTCCCCAGTGCAACCTTCCAGAATCAGGAAGATCTCTAACCTGAGGGTGGCCATGGCGCTTCACATCCATAAGGCGAAGGAACAGATGTCCCCAACACCGGCCACATCCACGGTGAAGTGATGAAAAAAGTCAATAATCTCCAGAGCACGAGGTCGGAACCAGAAGAGCAGAAACAGCGGGGTAAGGAGGGGGGACAGGAGCTCCTCCAGAAGGGAGACCTGAGGAAGCAGAAGTGAGGCTGAGCAGGGGTTGCTAAGTGATCTGGGCCCCTCCAGGAACACTCGCCAAGGGAAACCTCCAACCTAGTCGACCTCTTGGGGAGTTAGCCCCATCAAGTGTGGGCCACAACTTCTCCCAGACAAATCACCCGGTTGGTGCACGGCCTCCACTGCAGCCCATATAGGCCTCGACCCTCACCGCTCGGTACTGCAGCAGCTTCGCCATCTGCCAGTAGGCGCTGGCCCTGCAGCCCGCGCCAGGCTCCTCCGGGAGGTAGTGCATGTGGGCCAGGGCCGCCTGCAGCAGGAGCTGAGGGGAACGCCCCTGGCATTGCTCTTCAGGAATGAAAGATCTGGAGGACAGGTGGCAGGGAATGGGGTTTACGGGTTAGGAAGACTTACAGATAGGACACTGGCTGGCTAGGAGGCTCAGGTGGTGAGAAGGTAAGGAGGGCTCTCCAGGGAAAAGGGGTCTGTCTCAGCCCCAGGTCAGAGAGATGGGAACACACCACCACCACCTCCCCGACAATTGCTGTCGTACCTTGCTACGGTGGCCAAGACCCCGAGCGCTGTCATGGTGGTGAGCACGTGCTCCACGGCAAGCACGTCCTCGTCGTAGACAGTGAGCACCAGTAACGCGGCAAAGAGCGCTCCGGCGAAGAAGACGAGCTGGCGGGCCAGCAGCGCACGCAGAGGCGCAGGAGGCTCGGCCGCACGCAGGAAGGCGGCAGCCGGCCGGTAGGCGCGGGCCAGGCGAGCACGCAGCTCGTGCGGCAGCTCGTTGAAGTGGCGCAGCTGCAAGCGCGCCAGGCGGGACCAACGGCGAGTCCCGAACGCGCCGGGCTCGCGCCGCAGCAGCTCCACGTGGCTGTAGAAGGCGTGCAACACCTGCCAGGCCAGCACCAGCGGACTCAGCGCCAGGTTCACGGCGGCCAGCAGCAGCACCGTGCGCCCCCAGTGCGCAGCGAGGGCGCCCCGTTGGTCTCTGCGCTTGTAGGCGTCGGGCAGCTCCCAGCCCCCGCGGAAGAGGGAGAAGGGACCGCGAAAGAGGAGCAAGTCGATGTTGAGCGCCAAGCCGCGACTAAGGAAAGCTGCACTGCCTCCCCAAGGCAGCGGGCAGCGGGCCGGCAGCAGGCCCTTGTTGGCCAGCGCCACCTGGTAGTTGGTGTAGCGCAAGATGCGGTGGTGGACATCCAGCTCTGTCAGCGGCCGCGGCTGCACGCACAATCCTCCGCTCCGCTGCAGTTCCAGAAGGCGTGACTGCACCTCTGCCCAGGGCACCGAGCTGAGCTCCTCCTGAGGAGAGAGGACTGATGGGCACCAAGGACCTGGATTCCCCTCCACAGTGATGCCCAGCCTACACACCCCCTACCGGGCTGCCTACAAACTGCCACAAACTCACCAGACCAAAGCTACAGCCTGGCCGTCATGGACTTCCTCTTCACTTTTGGCTTTCTGTCCTCCCCTAAGGCTAGCGCTAAGAGGAGCACTTCGAACTTTCATCCCTTTCTGAAGTGCTTTGCTCCTCATCATCGCTGCCACTCACGTGGCCATTAATCATGTGCTTCCTGGTGACTTCTCTTTAGTAAACTTCAGGTGTTAGACCTGGCTGCTCAGCTCCTTAGAAACAGGTTTTCCTGAGTCCCCCTCACTCACACACATGAAAGAATGGCTGTCCCCTTGTCCAGCATTTTCATTACCTCTGACCACCTTATGCCTGGGCAAGCTTCCACCCCCCCCCACCTCCAATTAGTGTCTGTGTGGGGATGAGGGTGTAGTCAGATCTCACAGGGGGGGGGGGGGTGCTGCAATTCACCCAGCTTCTCAATCCAGTTAGTCCCTCTGAGCCACCCTCTCCAGCTCATCCTAGTGTCTCCCCTTCCTCCTGGTAGGAATGGAGGAGGGGAAAGAAGGAAGGAGGAAAAAGAGGGGGTCAGCACCCCCAGAGGAGCAGCAGACAGGCTTCTACTCTCCCCTCATCTCTGCTCCACTGGTCTCCTGGCCCCCCACCTGTGCCTGATGCCTTCCAACTCCGAAGGCTCTGGAAGGCTCAGGACTTCCAGGGGAGAGCAGGGAAGCACACTGCAGAAGTTGCTTTTAACAACTTAGTGTAAGACAAAGCAAGAGCAAGCTGGAGAGGAAAGAACTACAGTGACCAGGCCAACACAGCAGCTTTCACGCCAGGGGTCCTTGAAGGCTCCCTTGTAAGCTGGCAAGTACATCTCACCACCTGCAGGTGCCCATTACTTTTCCCCTGAGGCATGGAATGCCCCTGACCTGACCTTTTGAGCCTCCTGCTCCAGAAAGCCAGGTAACAGCCCTTCCTCTAAACACCCATTGTTTTCACCAGGAGCATGTGACTATAAGTCATTTTATATGACCCATCTAAATGAAGGAAGCTTCACAGGGGTAAGGGCCATGCTTCCTAAGTCACGTGTCTCCTGACATTACTCTGAGACCAGGGCAGAGTCAGAAGGCCTTGTTCCTTCTGCCTTCCCCCGCTGGTCCTTCTATCTGGGGACCATCTGTATGGCCCCACTTCTTCCCCATCCTCTGTTCACCCTGTCACAGCAGACACGCCTGTGCAGCTCACCGGGGAGATGTGTAGGGCCTCCCTGTAAAACACCTGGATGTCCCAGTAGTTGAAGAGGTTGCAGACTGAGCGAAGCAGCTGGAACAGCCAGAAGCCAGCAGCCAGGACCAGGAGGAAGACCAGCAGGGGGCTGTCGTGGATCCTGCATAGGGTTGGACAGGTAGTGATGGAAAGAAGCCCACAGAAAGAGAGACAGACGCTAGGAGCAGTGTGGCAAGACTAGCGGGTCTCAAAGTAGGGTCCCCAAAGAGGCTGTCAACTGCCTGCAAAGTCAACACTTCTTACAAATAACACTAATTCTTTCTATAGTTTGTATTCTCATTCTCCTACAAATGTGCAGCAAAGTTTTCCAATGCTTGTGCATTCCTAGGATTTAAAGTTTTCCTCAGAGTTGGGCACTGATGGGTCACACCTATAATCCTAGCTACTCGGGAAGCTGAGATCAAGAGGATCAAGGTTCAAAGCTAGCCCAGGTAGATAATTCTTGAGACCACCATCTCAAAATAACCAGAGCAAAATGGACTGGAGGTGTGACTCAAGCAATAGAGCACCAACTTTGCAAGCTCAAGGCCCTGAGTTCAAACCCCAGTCCCACCAAAAAAAAAAAAAAAAAGTCCTCAAGGATGAAGATAGCCAGGCTGGTGGCTCACATCTGTAATCCTAGCTTCTCTGGAGGCAGAGATTAGGATGATCACTGTTGAAAGCCGGCCTCAGACAGAGATCACAAGACCCTATCTCGGAAAAAAAACCTATCACAAAAAAGGACTGGGAGAATTGCTTAAGAGGTAGAACGCAAGTGAAAGCCCTTGAGTTCAAAACCCAGTGCCGTCAAAAAAAAAAAAAGAAAACAAAAAAAGGCGGAAGATGTGGCTCAGTGGTACTGCAATTGCCTAGCATACTTGAGGCCCTTGGATTTGCTCCCCAGCACCCCAGGAAGGTGGGAAGAAAGGAAGGATAAGGGAGAGAGGGAAGATCCAGACACAGATAGCTCATGTCTGCAATACTAGCTGCTTGGGGGGCCAGCCTGGGCAAATAGTTCATGAGACACCTATCTCCAAAAAGTAACCAAAACGGGCTAGGTGTGGCTCAAGCAGTAAAGCCTTGAGTTCTAAACACCCAAAAAGTTTCCTCACCTTTATTTCTAATAAGATAAATATGATTCTCATAAACAAAGGTTCTTTGGGGTTCTCTACCAATTTGAAGTGTATCTTTAAATACACTTAATATACTTTTAGGTTCTGAGGCCAAAACCTTTGAGAGCTGATCTAGACCAAAGAAGACAGGGTTTCTCCTTTCTTCTCCCCACCTTCTGTGAGCTTAATATGAGGGAGGGGGGCTATCAGACTGTCACTCACCTCTCTGCACACTGGGCTGAGGGTAAGATGGCATCTGACAAGGTCACTTTGCTGTGGAATGGCCCAGGTCTTGTACGGTTATTTGGTTGGTTGGCAAAGAGAACATTGTAATTGACACAGCGAAGGAGGAAGGTTGTGAAGGTGACAATGAAGATGAATTGTCTGTGGAGAGGGTGCAGCAAACAGCAGTGATCAGGCCTGAGTATCAAGCAGGTTCCTGCAGCAGTCCCCAGATAAGCCCGAGGCTGTCCCTTCACCCTCCAGAGCCCTAGGCTACCTGGGGAAGGAGCAGGATGGACTAGGGCAGTAGGTGCTACTAAGGAAACAAGATGCGCAGGGGATAAGGGGGTGGGAGGGAGAGACAGAGCTTGGGGCCAGGATCAGCTTCTCACCCCAGCTGGAAGACATCCTCTAGCAGGATACAGGCGAAGCCATTCCGCTGGTGGTAACTGTAGATGTGGCAAATGCATCAAGGAATAAACCTGAGCCACAGTGGACCTTTCCTGAAGTCTCCTGAAGAGACAGCACCCTCATAGTCTCTCCACAAAGAACAGCTCCAGGGAGGCCCTCCCATGCCACCTCTGGCAGGCTGAGCACAAAGGATATCTTGGTGAAGAAGCTGTCCAGGTTCTGGATGTGATGCCAGGAGCCTGGCACAGAGGGAACAGCATCAGGACTTGGCGTTGTCACTGGAGTGATCAGTTTTCCATGCCCTCAGCCTGTGCCAGAGGCCCAGCTTGGGCTAAGCCCTTGGAGCTTCAGGGCTCCCCACCCATTCCCCGCACACATACCCCCACTCACCCCGGAGCCCTTCAGGCACATGAAGCAGGGGTTGCTGGTCCTCCCCATGGAGGGGTGAGTCTTGGGATCCCTCAGGGTCACAGTCCACCAGTTGGTCATAATCCTGCTCAGGGATCAGAGGACCTATCCGCAGCCCAGGAGGGTCCTGGGGGCACCAACGTGAGGGAGGGGGAGTGACCGAGGCCAGGGATGGGGTGGAGTGGGATCCCCAAGAGGGGAAGCAGAGGTGGATGTCATTGCAGGCTGTGTCTGAGGTGAGGGGGTGGCTGGGGTAGGGAGGACACTGTGTCGAGACTGAGAAGTCCCTGTCCCCTGCAGTGCAGGGCAAGGGGACCCCAGGACAGGAGGGAACAGTGAAGAGGGGGAGCTTCTTGAATGAGGAGCAGGTGACAGAGAGAAGACAGAGATCCTCCCTCCCCCAGGCCCCCGACAAGGAGGAGCAGGAGGAGGCAGTGGCATGGGGAGCAGAGGCACTGAGCTGGGCCCCAGGTCTCCCCACCGCCCCAGCTGCCCCCTGCTCCCCCCCCACCCCATTCGGCTCACCATGAGGCTGCAGCTTCTCCCAGGAGGTCAAAGGGAACCCAGGACTGTCGCTGCTCCCACAGAGGTTTGTGGAGCTGAACAGGACTTCAACAAAGACAAGACAACAACACCAGATGACTCAAGCTGGGCAAGCCTCAGGCGTCCCAGCTCTCAGTCACCTGTGTGATCACTCACACCCCTTTTAGGGCAACCTAGGGCCAATCTTATCAAGGCCCATCCCACGCCCTGGAGGAACATCAGCTTGGGAGGCTGGGGCTGAAGAGTTCATTTGGACAAGAGGAGACACCTACAGTTTCCATCTTTAGACCTTGAAGGGATTAGAGAAGAGAGCAGTAACTAAACTCAAGCAAAGAAGTAAAATCCCACTGTAGGATCTGGGGACAAACATATTAAGCCTTTCACTTCTTAAAATCTTATCCCTCCTCCCTCCACATCTTCTATAGTAATCAACAAGGAAATGCTTTAAGACCAAAAAAAAAAGGCTGCCTGTTTTATTCATCTGAGGGTGCTAAGGAAGGGAAGAGGGGAGACTGGCTTTGCAGCCAGGGCAGGGGAAACCATGAAGAGGAAGGAAGTTAAAGAAGAAAAGCCAGCTATCAAAAAAAAAAAAAGAAAGAAAGAAAAGCCAGCTATCTTGGATTTGAGAAGTGGGGTTCCTTGGAAGTTCCATTATGTCTCCTTCCTTATCCTCTTGAACCCTGATACCCTGTCCTCTAAGTCCTGATCCAGTTTCTGGGGAGCCCTGAGAAGTATCACAACTAGACTGGCAGAGGAGGGCAGCCAAGGGCCCATGATTTAGAAAGATAATTTGGGTTCTCAGGAATGGGTCAACTGAGTTGAGTTCCTTGTTGTCACCTTACCAAGGAGGAGGCCCAGGTGGCTGGTCTGGTGGCTTGCCTAACCATTCCTGAGGACCTGAGTCACTCACTCGGTGTCCTACTGACGCCCATGCCTGAGATGCTACTCAGCCAGCAGGTGTCAGGGCCTCGGGGCTCAGGCCAGGAGCTGATGTAAGAGCCAGTATCCAAGAAACAAGAGAAATGCAGTGCTTTCTAGATTGTTTCCTGGAGGTATGTGGAAGCAATCATGGAACTGCCCACATATTGAGTCCAGACTACCTGCTTTTCTTTCTGGGAGGGGCACTGTCACAGTAGCTACAGACTTGAGTATTTCTATGGCTGAGCAGGAGGCAGAGCTATGAAAACCCTTCTATAGGTGGCAAAATGGGATGTCATATTGTGTGGGGTAGGTGGCTAGGAAAATTTCATGATCTTTCTGAGTTTTGGGAGGTTTTGAGTGGTCTCTCCCTTACCTCACCTGCCATGACTTACTTAGCATCACTGATATCCTATGTTCACATTAGGACCCCTCCCTACACACCCTGAGCTCCTCATGCCAATCTCAAACTAATTCTGGCTCACCCGTCCTATTCAGTTCCACCCTAAATTCACCTCCCTACCACCTCCCTCAATTCAAGTCAATGTATTAGGAAGGGCACTTTTTCCTGCCAGGCATGTGGGAGGGAACTGGATGAATGAAGCTGCACCACTCCCACCAAGAAGTCACACCCTGGTGGAGATGGCAGATATGTGAATAATTACACTGAAGAGTAAGCACTAAGCACTGTTCTCTTTATGGTAGGCAGGTAGGTAGGCATGAGCAGGGAGAAGGAAAAGCCCTGGGCTACAAGATTCCATACCCTAAAAACCCAGATGGCCCACACCCTGGACCAACCATAAAGAGATTGGTCCTATAACCTTCCTTATGGAGCCCATTCCCCATATCAAGATATTGTCTGTGCCTTAAGGGCATAACTGCTGTATGGCCTTCCAAGGGAGGTACTAAAGAGAGAAGGGCAAAGAGGGTCAAATGCTCAAGCAACTGCCCTCACGTTCTCAAAAGCACAGGACTTTCCAAGCTTGGCAACCATTGAGCTGTCAAATCACTTGGGAAGGGCTACAAAAGGGATTAGTAGGTGGGTTCCTTGCCACCTAACCTCGACCTTATTGGATAATGAAACCCAAGCCTCAACAACTTCTGAAACCAGTTTTGGACCCCAGGCTCAAACACCTGGAATTCTATATGTCAGGTCGATCCACTCACCCCTGTACTCCAAATAAAGAGGCATGGTGAAGGGCAGAGAAAGGAGATTTATTTTACAGCTAGGGGCATACTATGGGAAGAAGTAAAATAAGCACTCAGCGGCCCATCTTCAGTCATCTTTGGTTTTGGTTATAGGTTTAAGTGGACCAAAGAACCGGAGGCACAGGACAAACAGTCACAGTGTGATCTGATTGGTCATTATCTCAGTCCTTGTTCTGGGAAAAGTTCTGGAGTTCTGGGAGGAGTTCTGGAGTTGTTATCTAGAGCCAGGCAGGTAGGTGATCCATCCTGAGGAGGCTTTACAGTTGGAGGTAGTTTTGGTCCATTGTCATGAAGATGTTACCAGTCTGTCCTTCCTGGAATTCAAGGTGATTGCAAAGTGACTTCAAAGAGAATGGTTTAGGATAAAGGCACACACAAAATGGAGAGGTGACATGCTTTTCTCCTGTTTTTAGTGGGCCCAAGTAAGGAGTCCATGCTTTCAGCAGAAGCAGTTTAAGCACCTCTTACACTTCTAAGCAACCAGCTCTGTCTGAACTGCCCGTGTCATATGTCCAAATGTAATTCTGTTTTGCTAATAAATCTGCTATTCTTCTCACTGTTTTTTTTTTTCTTTCTGCACCTAGGGCAGTATCCTAATCTTCAAAATTGCACCCAAGGAACTGAGGTGCATCTGGAATGCCCCAACCATTGAATGCTGTTGAAGTGAATGCTTCACTTGCTGAAGGAGGTTGCACTTTGATTAACTTCCGAAGCTCCATACCAGTAATTCTCAATAATGGAGGAACAGGGCGTCAGTATCAGAACCACCCGGGGAGTTTGTGGGGTCTTTTTCTTTTTATTTTTCCCGCAAATGCACATTATTGCAGTCCCAGAAATTATGACAGTCCTGGGAGAGCTGGGTGACGACAAGTCACGTGCATTCATTTACTATTTCTTTTTAGGAAACTCTCCCGTCGAAATTTGCTCGCTCCTCCACCAGAGCCGAAGGGCACTCCCTGGAGACCCCAGGACCTCTAGAAACCCTCTGGAATATCCTTATGTAAAAGTGGCCCGTCGTCAGAAGTTGACGCGTTACCGTGGACATCCCCAGGGTTGAGAGGGCAAGCTGCGTACACTCTTCAAACCTTAAGAGAGCCAGGCGCCAGTGAGTGCACGCCTGTAATCCGAGCTACTCAGGAGGCAGATCACAGTAAGATCTCGGTTCGAAGCCAGCCTGGGCAAACAGTTCCGCGGGACCCTATCTCGAAAAACCCTTCACAAAAATAGGGCGGGTGAAGTGGCTCAAGGTGAAAGCCATGAGTTCAAGCCTCAGGGGGCGGGGAGGAGGGGCCGTGTGAATTAAAAAAAAAAAAAACTTACAAGAGCCGACCGGGGCAACTGGCAAAAAGAAGGTAGAGCCACTTCCTGCACAGCCCCGCCCACAGGCTGGGGCGGGCGGGTAGTTGATTCTCTCCAATCAGAGTTTAGGAAGGAGGCGGGCGGACAATGTTTTCTCCAATCATAGACCGCAGTGAGATTGATGCTTTTTTTTTCCCACCAATCACCGCGGAGGCACGAGGGGGTTGTCGGGAGGTGGGCCACGGCCAGCATGGAGCTCTCGGAGAGATGAGAGTGAAATTGTCGTTGCCGGCGCCTCTGGTGTTCCTGCCCCAGAATGTTGGTGCACTTATTTCGGGTCGGGATTCGGGGAGGACCTTTCCCAGGCAGGTCGCTACTGTCTCTCCGCTTCCAGACATTCTCGGCCGTCAGGTAAAAAAGGGCAGCTACTCGGAGCGCGGGCCATTGACCGTCCAGCGCGGCGCGAGGCCCGCCGGGAGATGGAGTTCCGGGCTCGCGCAAGGCCTGCTGGAAACTGTAGGCTAGCTCGGCCGAGGTGAAATGTCACTCCCCGGGGAGTTGGCCTCAATTATTTATAGTGAGGTGCAGGTGCCAGCGGGAGGCTCCGCACTTCTGCTTCTGTTGTGTAGAGTGGACTTGGGGTCAGTGGCTACGCCCAGTCTGCGCTGCCCACCAGGAGGCGCTACGCCCGGCCTGCGTTAGCTACCTGGGAATTGATCTGGCGATTTGGATAAAAATTGATTTTAGAGTCTAGAGACATTTAGTGTTGCTGGTGCTTCTACGAATCAAGATGAGCCGATCAAAACTGGTAACTCATTCTTGATTTAAAAAAAGAAATCAAAAAGCTCCTCACACCTTCCAGAGAGGGGAAACAAGCAAGGATGGGAAACTAAACCTTCAGTGTAAATGCTTTGTAAGAAGGGACCGATTCCCTTCTACTGCCGCAGTGAATTACCTTAGGGCAGGACAGGAAGATTGCCAAGGGTGGTGGCCGTGAGGCTGTTATTTGGAAAGAGCCAGGACGAGCTGGAAGTACTGGTGCTAGGAGGCCGTCCACCAGTTGCTGGCGATCATCAAGCCCTTCTTAGAGTTTTGATGTGGAGAAGATTAGAGAGAAGCTGGAAAATGGCCATAGTAAATTATTAAACGATTTGAAAACAGTCTTTAGGAAAGAGTAGGGGTGTTGATATTTTTTAAACCAGAAAGAGACTCAAGGAAAGATAAATAATATTCAAATATATGTGCATTCATTTTTAGACAGTGTTTTTCAGTAGGTCATGAAATGAAGTTAGTAGGTCAGGACCATATAACAATGAATAAAAAAAATAGCAGAATACATGTTTAAAAATTAGGGAAAGTATTATTTTGTGAACCTTTGATTTTGCGTTATATATTCGTTGTACTGGGTTATACTGGGGCATTGAACTGGATTGCAGTGTAAAATGTTGGTCACAGTGAGTCCAAACGTTTATAAAGCGTTGCAGTAGTCAGGTCAGACTGCTGTGTGTCTCTAATGAAGGCACGCACACACTGCACAAACATTTGCTCAGCGTCTATTATGTTCAGAGCTCTCCTATGTGCTGGGATATAAAGCAGCTTCCTGCCCTTCAGGAAGATAATGTCTAATGGAAAAATGGGCCAGTGACACAGGAAGGAAGAAGCGTGAGCTACTTTATCTAAAACCTAGAATAGTCAAAAAAACCACAGTGGGAAACAAGACAGGAAAACCAGGCAGGTGGATTGCAGTGTTTAGGTGGCAAGAAGCACAGGCTTTTCTGACAGTGAGGGAGGATGAGATAGTCTATAATTAGAAGGATGTGGGAATATGAAAACAGAATGATAAAGAAGAAATCTCTCGCTGTTTTTTGTTGTTGTGGCACTGGGGTTTGAATTCAGGGCTTCATGCTTGCTAGGCAGGCATTCTACCACTTGAGCCACTCTACCAGCCCTTTTTTATTTTGGGATTTTCAAAGTAGGATCTCACTATTTCCCTGGGCTGGCTACAAACTGTGATTCTTCTGATTTCTGCCTCCTGAGTAGCTAGAATTACAGTCATGACCACCAGGGCCTGGCTTGTTTTTATTTTTATTTTTTTGAGGCAGGGTCTCACTATATAGCCCAGGCTGATTTGGAGCTCAATATCCTCCTGCCTCAGCGTCCCAAGTGATGGAATTAAAAGCTTGATCCACCATGCCTGGTTTCTGTATTCTTTTTTCTTTCTTTTCTTTTTTAAGCCTTTCCCTATCACTAATCACTTTTAGATCTCTGAGCATCCCACCATGCCCTCTTGGCATAATTTCTGCTTCAAACAGACCTCTCTCTAGCCAGCCCTGGCTCCCTCTAGCCCACTCCCCTCTTCTAGCCTTTAAAGTACACATCTGATTATATCCCACATCAGCCTAGAAACCACAGATAGTCCTGCATGGTTCTCAATGTCCTTTGACGCCCTTGTGCCTTGTGGAGATTAGAATGACTGTCACTTCTAAGCCCCACATCTCCTCTCTTTTCTGTGTAGCCAGCCTCAGCCACACTACTGCTGGAACTCTATTACTGCAGACACCCCTGCATGCTTTCCCTCCGCCTACACCTGGCAAACCTCTCTTTACCCAGGCCTCATTAGTCCCTTGTTCTGTGTTCTCAGTGTGCTTGCTATTCCCCATTACTGTTTGTCCTCCCTCCTTGAGCATGATCACCATGAGGATAATCACCATAGAGCCTGACTTGGTCACCTTCAAACTCTCTACACTTTGGAGCAGAGCACCTGCACACAGTAGGTTTGCAGATGTCTTAAGCATTTGAATCTGAATTGCTGTTTTATAGATATGGTACCTGAAGGAACGAGAAGGGCTTGGCCTGTCCAAGGTGATTCAATCAGCTAATGGAGGGGGAGCGTGTGGCCCTTTCCCTCTGTGCATAGTCACACATGGCTTTCCAGCCCTAGGAGGGTAGGTAGGACAATGGGGTGGAATAAGTCAGAAGAAGACTTTTCCTTCTGGCTCGAAGTTGCCTGCTGGTTCCAACTGCCACACATAGCCTTGAACACACCACACTTGGCAGAGTAGAACAAGCCTGAATCTTAGAACCAAACAGCAGAGCTCCCCTCTTGTTCCAGTTCTGCTGCCTGGGGATCTATGATTTCAACTTTCAACTCTGTAGGAATTTGCATTATCAAGTGAGAATCAGGGCAGCAAGCCAGGGAGGCAAGGGTCAAAGGCAGTGAACCTCTGACTCAGTGCTTCAGGATCCATCTCTGCCTCGTTTGCCAACATGAGCATGTGCAGTGCCAGTCACAGAGCAGGAGCTTGCCGTGCTGGTTACCTCTGAGCCTTACTCAAGGAGGACTTCTGGGTCCCTGCCTGTCAGAGGAGTGCCATGGACCATCTGCTGCCTCATGTGCGCCCCAGCCCTGGCATACCTGTGGTTATGAGAGGCAGGGTCTGAAGACCACCACTGACCAGGCTTGGGACCCTGGGAGGCTGAGTGGGGGCCTGGCTGCTGTTGATTGGAGGATGGTGCAGGGGGAAAACACTTTTTAAGATTTGACTCAGTGCACTTTGTCATAGAACCTGAAGTTGCTTAAACACAGCCCTGTGAGCTAGAAAGATAGCACACACCTGTAGCCTAACTATTTTGTAGTCTCAAATACTTGGGAGGCTGAGGCAAGAGGATCACTTGAGCCCACAAGTCCAGGCCAGGCTAGAGAACATTGTGAGACCATGTCTTAAAAAATAAAATAAGGCAGGTACCAGTGGCTCATGCCTGAAATCCTAGCTACTTGGGAGACTGAGAGCAAGAAAACTGCAAGTTTGAGGCCAGCCCAGACAAATAGTTCACAAAACCCTATCTCTAAAATTAACCAGAGCAAAATGGACTGGAGGTGGAGCTGGAGTGGTAGAGCACCTACCTTAAGCACAAAGCCCTGAGTTTAAACCCCAGTCCCACCAAAAAAAAAACCAAAAACTGTCCTGAGAAAGGTAAGGTGGAGGGCCCAGACAAAGAGGAAATTCTGGTGGAGGAGGCTCAGCCAGAGCTCGGGGTTTGTTGGTCAGTTGAAAAACAACCTGGACCTCAGCCACCAATGCCCTTTACTCCCTGCAGGTCCCAGGATGACCGCCTCAGCTCAACACTCCTCAGGGCCGTAGCCCAACTGAGGTCACAGCTCAGGGCCCACCTCCCTCGAGCCCCACCAACTCGCAGCCGGATCCCCTCTGCCTGGTGTTGGGTTGGAGGAGCCCTTCTGGGCCCCACAGTGCTGTGTAAGCGTCCCTGCCTCTGCCTTGTGGCACTGTGTGAGGCAGAGAAGTTCTCTCCCACCTTCTCTACAGCCCATGTCGTGGAGTCCCGCTTTAACTGGAAGCTCTTCTGGCACTTTCTGCGCCCTCACCTGCTGCTCCTGGGGGCAGCCATTGTGGTAAGGCTTTTCCTGCTCCTCCACACTGGGGACAGGAAGGACCCAGGGAGGTGTCTGTAGATGCCCCAGCTAGAGCTGCACAGGGACAGAATTCCTGCCTCCTGGAAGCAAAGGGCTGGCCTGGGCCTGCAGTCTGGGAACACTGGGAGGACTTGTGCACAATGGCTTGGGTTTGTGGAGTACAGGGGCCTGGAAGGGCTGGAAGCCCGAATTTTAACTCTCAGGCAGGTGCTGTGTCCACACGAACAGCCATGATGCAGACAAGAACAAGGCAAGGGAATGGCGAGGGAAAAAGTGTGGCCTCCCTCTCCAAGTGTCTGTCCCCTCTGCTCTGCCTGGTTTCAGCTGGCCTTGGGCGCAGCACTGATAAATGTGCAGATCCCCCTGCTCCTGGGCCAACTGGTTGAAATCGTGGCCAAGTACACAAGAGACCACATGGGGAGCTTCACATCTGAGTCCCGGAGCCTCGGCACCCAGCTGCTTATCCTCTATGGCATCCAGGTACAGCAGGGCAGGAGGATCTGGGGCAGAGGAACCTTCCTTGGGCATCCCTGAGTGCCATGCACTGGCCTCTCTCACAGGGACTGCTGACCTTCGGGTACCTGGTGCTGCTATCCCACATTGGTGAGCGCATGGCTGTGGACATGCGGAGGGCTCTCTTCAGCAACCTGCTCCGGTACTGCCAGCTGCAGAGTGTGGCTGGACGACTGAGCCCCAAGGGGTTCAGGAGAGGGCCTGAGGGTGGGCCACGTCCGGAAGTAATGTCCCTCTTTTCCCCCACCTGCGCCCCTTTGTCTTACCACCAGACAGGACATTGCTTTCTTTGATGCCAGAAAGACAGGGCAGCTGGTGAGCCGATTGACCACTGATGTGCAGGAGTTTAAATCATCCTTCAAGCTTGTCATTTCCCAGGTCAGTGGCCCAGGCCCCCCTCCACCCAAATACACTGTCATCCACGCAGACTCAGCAGGCCAGCTCTGCCTGCCCCAGCCCCAACATTGGGCCCAGAGCCAGGGCCTTCTACCATCTGGGGAGGGTGTGGGCGGGAACATGACATCCACAGAGGGAGGTGCCAAGGCCAAGTCCAAGGTCAGGACAGGCTGCCTCTTCGTGTTCTGACATCCTGCCTCCCCCAGAAGCCTTCCTGAGGGCTCAGACCAGAGGCTGTCTTGTCAAGAGCAAACCTACTTTGTCTGCTGTGTCCCCAGAGTGCTGATCACTGGCCAGCATTAAGCTGGCACCATGGTTCTTTGCTGCATACTGTTGTCCTCCCCTTACCCATCCTCACCATCACTGTGGCCACTGGGTTAGGCTAGACATTGGTTCATGGAAGCCAATGGGTGGTATCCCCATGTGGTTCTCTTAGTTTGGTTTCTAGGATAGAAAGAAAAGTAAACTGGGTTTTGTCAAGGGGAAAGAGGGTGTGGTCCATGATTGTTCAACTCCTGCTGGTTGAACGCAAAAAAGGGTTTCATTTGGTGACCAGTGATTGTCACTTGGCCTGTGAGGGGTGAGATCTGTGGCCTGGGCCTCGCAAGTGTGGGGCTGTAGCCAGCCCACTGGACAGAGCACCAGCATCATAAGCCAATACTTCATAGCCTCCTGCCCTCTTATTGCCCAGGGGCTGCGGAGCTGCACTCAGGTGGCAGGCTGCCTGGTGTCCCTATCTATGCTTTCCCCACGACTCACGTTGCTGCTGGCCATCGTTACACCTGCCTTGATGGGAGTTGGCACCCTGATGGGCTCAGGTCTCCGAAAATTGTCTCGCCAGTGTCAGGAGCAGGTACTGGAATTCCTGATCATCTCCTTTGCCTCCCCACGACCTGTCTGATCTGCTCTTCCCATCACTCCTCTGGTCTCCAACCTGCTTCCTGTTTCCTGGACTCCATGCAGATTGCCAGGGCAACGGGTGTAGCCGATGAGGCCCTGGGCAACGTTCGGACTGTGCGGGCCTTCGCCATGGAGCAGCGGGAAGAAGAGTGAGTCCTGGGAGGGTGAGCACAAAGCAAGGACAGCTCCCCACATGCACACACCCACCCTGCACCCCAGCTGCTTCCTGAGCACCTGGCCTGGCCTCTGTCCCCAGACGCTACAGAGCTGAGCTGGAGGGGTGCCGTTGTAAGGCAGAGGAGCTGGGCAGGGGCGTTGCCATGTTCCAAGGGCTTTCCAACATCGCATTCAACTGTGAGTGAACCCAAGTCCTGCCTGGGAACTGGGGACCAGCTCATGGGCTGGGAAGGGGCAAAGATAGACAAGAGCAGTGCACCATCTATGTTCTTCAGACGTTGACCTAGAACCTTAATTTGCCAGGTACCTTAACTGGTAACACCTACAGGTAACAGGAGGGCGGAGAGCACTGTCACTTGACCCTGAGCTGTGGAGAGAATGCTGCAAGGCCGCCTAGAGAGAGAATGGAGGTTTGCTCTGTCCTCCTTGGTTGGCAAATGAGACCAAGGCTGAAACCACTCAAGGTCTCACCTAAATTCTCCAGTTAACTGGTGGCATAGCGGGCTAGGACTCAGGACTAATGGGCTTGGGCTCATTCCTTATCTTTCACCACTTCCTGCCTTACCTCTTGTCCCTTCCCCCAAGCAGGCATGGTCTTGGGCACCCTGTTCATTGGGGGCTCTCTTGTGGCTGGACAGCAACTGACAGGGGGAGACCTCATGTCCTTCTTGGTGGCTTCCCAAACAGTACAGAGGTGAGTGGGGGCCATTCCCATTCCTAAGGAGCCCCCTGCCTCCCTGTAGAGCCCTTTCTACTCAGGGTACCAGGGTACCAGCATGCTCTAAGGGGATTGCTGCCCAGACCTGGGCCTGCCCAGCTTCCCTAAGGGAGTGCAGGCCCCAGGAGAGTCCAGGCCTTCCACAAGAACCCCCAGGCTGATGTACTAAATCCACACTCAGGAATGCAGTTGGCATTGTCAGCCTTCCACACAACTCACGAGTATCTGACATGTTTTTGAGAATTTTTTTCATTGTGGCGAAATACACATAACATAAAACTTACCATGATAAGCATTTTTAAGTGCACACCCTGGTACTGTACAGCCATCACCAGCACTCATCACCAGAACTATGTCATCCTGCAAACGTGAGACTGCACCCATTAAACACCATCTCCCCACTCCTCCCTAGTCCTCACCTCACCTTCCACTGTCTGCCTCTGTATCTCTGGTCACTTTGGGGAACCTCACAGAAGCGGCTGTGCAACATCATCCATTTGTGACCAGCTGGTTCCACCTCTCAGTGTGCTAAGGCTCCTCATGTTAGCATGCATCAGGACCATCTTCCTTTTTAAGGCTGAGTAGTGTTCTCTGTATGGATAGACCATCCTTGACAATCCTTTTAAGGGTTGTGTCTGCCACTCATCTGCCTATTTCCTGGGATATTCCTATTTCCCCTGTCCCTGCAAATACCACGCTTGTAGCTTGTCACTTTTCATTGGTCTGAAGCTACCTGCTCAGTTGGGCCCCATCTGCATTGCGGGTCTCTCTGCTGCCTCAACCCCTCAAGGCAGCCCCAAGCAGACCTCCCTGTCCTTTCTTTTTCCCAGCACAGCGTGAGCAGTTCCTATTGCTATTTTCCCCCACAGATAGCAAGTATAAAAAATATATAAATATGTGTTATGATTAATAATTAAAGAGTGAATATGCTGTAATAAATAATTAAAGACTTGTTACCACCAACCACGTCAAGAAAATAGACACCCCCATTCTCTCCCATGTTCCACATCCACTGCCCCTCACCTCTCTAGAGGTGACACCCCGATTCTTTGGTGTCCCCGATCCCTGCCCAGAGTCCTATCTTGCTACTGCTGTACATTCATGGCTTCTTACAGAATCGCCCAACATCAGACTGTGTTATACTCCCATGTAAAGTGAGGCTAAGACAGAAAGGGATAGGACAGCCTTCCATTCTCACCCCAGACAGAAATGCCTCCTCTGCCCAGACACCACTCCTCAAAGCAGTCCACCTGTTTCCGCAGCTGCACCAACACCATCAGCTGTTTCTGCTCCAAGGTCCCTGAGTTGGGCATGTTCAGACCCTTTCTGGGCCTGGGGAGCCTCATCCCTCCACTGGGCCAGGAACTGATCTGGGTGGCTTTGGGATCCATGTGCTCTGATCTTGGGGTGTCCCCTCTGCTGCCTGCACTCCTTTGTGCTGGCATCCCCCTTACTGACTCGGTTCCCTGACTGAGCTCCGATCTTTCTAGTCCTGAGGTCCCATAGGAACTTGCTGACTCTCTTAAGACAAGCAACATGGCCCTGCTCCCTGGGCCTCTGTCCCCTTTCTGGTTTGATGACAGACTCCTCACCTCTCCACTGCACAGCTCAGCCTTGAGCAGGATTGTATTACAGTGACAGGAATGTCTAGGGAGCCAGCCTGCCCTGTCTCAGGCCCCTGCCCAGGTAGCTGTAGCTGTTGTCACCCACCTGGAATTTTATTAAGGAAGCTGACTTGTTTCCTCCTGGGTCATGTCATGCAGCCAGGGGCACATATGTTAGTACTGGGGTCCAGGGGGAAAGACCAGCAAGGCTAAGTGTTCTTGCAGAGATGGGGCAGTCACTAGACAGACCACAGTTGGGGCCAGGCTGCCTCATCACAATCCAGGGCTGGGCCCCACCTGGGCAGGCACAAAGTCTGCATCCTGCGGCATCTCTGAGAGCAAGGTCATTGCATGCCAATGAGTCATATCCGTTTTGGATTTCAGTTGTGGCTGGTCCCTTTGCCAGGCCCTAATGGCTTCCAGATCTCTGTAAGGTCCCCTCCCCATCCATAGATAACTTGCTGGTCTGGCTCCTCCTTGCACTCCCCACCCCCTGTGGCAAGTGCTCATTGCTCTGAGCCTGCCAGAACCATTTCCTTGTGGGTTTTGGGGCACCTCCCACCCCCTCACTTTAGCACTGGAAGAAGTGAGTCTGCAGCCCACAGAATGGTAGGGATTCAGTCTTTCCTCTTCTCAGAAAGGACCTGGGGCACACAGTGCCACACACATTGTCACGGGTCAGCCAGGCCATTGGGGACCTGTGACTAAGAGACTGTTGACTCATCTTCCTCCCAACTCACAGCAGCCAGCCAGCCCCATCCCAGCCCTGCCAGGTCAGAAGAGGCGACCCACTGTCTAGACAGATAAACACACACCCATCTCCTACACATGCACCTGCAGGGCAAGGCCCACAGTACAAATTCTGTCAAGGAATTCTGTTCTGGGGTCTCCCCAGAGTTCCTTTCCTGTTTTCTTCTTTCTCTGAAGGGACTTTACTTTCTTTCCTCTGCCCATTTGAATGAAAGTCATTGCTTTTCCAGGAAGCAAGCATTAAATCTAACCTCCCATTGTGGGCCATGCTACCTTGACATCTGTCAAGGATTATTCTAGTCATCAGGGCTGAGGCAGGTCAGTTGGGGTCCCTCCTTAAGGACTGTAATGTCCTCCCTGGTCTTATGGGCTGACTTCACCCTGCACTCTGTAGCCATGTGGCATACCTGGGCCTTCTTTCCACATCCGTTACCTCAAGGAGCCCCCTCTGGGTCTGGAGTAAACTAGCAGACAGTTGTCATTGTCTACAACCAAGGAGGGCACTGAAACTCAGTGATGTAGTGTCCCTGGGTCCCAAGGCTCCTGCAGCTGCAGACCCTGAGGGGGCCTTCTCTGCATTTGGTCCTCAGCCCCTGTATCCTTACCTCCTCTTTCTCAACCTTCCCCTTCTCTGTGGCTCTTACAACCACATCTTCCAACCCTCTCTCCTCACAGATCTATGGCCAGCCTGTCTGTCCTATTTGGGCAGGTGAGTAAGTGGGAGTATCCTGAGATGGGGCATTTGAATCTGGGCTGGGGTCTATATCACTAGTGGTTGATGTGGATGCTGTTCATGCCTGGGTGTGGGGAGGGGGATTTCTGAACCCTAGGGCCTCAGCTTGGCTCCAAGGCCTGCTTTGGGGGTGCCAGGGATGCTGTAGTCCCCTGACCAGCACCCATCACCTCTCTTGCCTGGGAGCCCCTTCAAATTCTGAATTCCCCTGGCAGGTGGTGCGGGGGCTCAGCGCAGGCACCCGTGTCTTTGAGTACATGGCTCTGAGCCCCTGCATCCCACTATCGGGGGGCTGCTACATTCCCAAGAAGCACCTGTGTGGCTCCATCAAGTTCCAGAATGTCAGCTTCAGGTCAGACTGGAGGCGTGCCAGGTGGAAGGTCTGGCTGAATGAATGCCCTGTATAAGCGAGACCCCTCAGAGGGGCATAGGGAGACTGAGGAGGGAGCAGGGTGGCAGGGCCTGAGAGCCTGGTCTGACTGGGGCTTTCTGCTGCCCCTAGCTACCCCTGCCGCCCTGGCTTCGAGGTGCTCAAGGACTTCACCCTGACACTGCCCCCTGGCAAGATTGTAGCCCTTGTGGGGCAGTCTGGGGGAGGTAAGGGGAGCTCTCACCACCCCCCGTCAGTTTTCCAAAGCCACTTGGAGCAGGGCAGGGAGCAACAATCCCAATGTTGTCCCTGACCCTCCCTGGTCTGGGTGTCCTTACTGCCACAAGGGTCCCTCTTCTGGGATAGTCTCCAAAACCCTGTCTCCTTCCCCCACCACTCCAACCCCCCAGGAAAGACCACAGTGGCCTCCCTGCTGGAACGCTTCTACGACCCCACGGCCGGTGTGGTAATGCTGGATGGTCATGACCTGCGTACCCTAGACCCCTCCTGGCTCCGGGGCCAGGTCGTCGGCTTCATCAGCCAGGTGTGGCCCAGAAGCTGGCAGGGCTTGGGCAGCCTAAGGCAGTGCCCTGTTCCCTAGTACTCCTCAGCCCTCGGGGCCTTTTCTTTCCTTCCCTTTCTTCACGGTTCTCAGGCATCATGGGGAGAGGGGCATCCAGAGCAGCCCTCTCCTAACCCTCATTCCCAGGGCAGGAAAGCTTTGCTCCTGGTCACAGCAGTCCACACAGGTGGGCACTTTAAGATCCTGTGGTACTGTGAGTGGCCACTTTTCCATTGTAGGCTGGGAAATAAAGTGAGCACACTTTCCATCCCATGAAGATGCAAAACCCCATCCCTGATCACTGTGATTCCTGCCTGCCTAGCCAGCCTTGAGGTCCCAGCTCCATTTCCACCCTGCTTCTGGGGAGAGATTCTGTGCCCTTAGTGGGAGGGTGCATCTACTTCCCTATAATGGGCCACTCTGTGCTCTTGCCTGATTGACCTTTGATTTTGAACTTCCAGTCCCCTAAGATGCCCCCAAGGGATCCTAACAAAAGTGGCAGTCCCTGGCATTCTGAGGCAGGATCAGAACATTGTCCGTGCACTCTCATCTCTGTGTCCCCTCCATCCCCCACTCCCCAGGAGCCAGTCCTGTTTGGAACAACCATCATGGAGAACATCCGTTTTGGGAAAGCTGAAGCGTCTGATGAAGAGGTGTACACAGCTGCGAGGGAAGCCAATGCCCACGAGTTCATCAGCAGCTTCCCTGAGGGCTACAACACTGTGGTTGGTGAGTTCCAGGGTAGCCTCCTACTTGAGTCTGCCGGGCCTGTGGGGATGAGACTGGAGAGATGGGATCCCCTGAGCAGTGAGGGGTTCAGTGAGACTCAGGGTTGCAGGGGCAGCTGGTGAGAAAATCATTCATGCAGTGAAGACCAGGACCATGGCTGAGGGTACAGAGATGGCTCTAGAAGGACCGGAGTCCTGGCCCGTGTGGCTCCTGCATAGTAAACCAGGCAGGCTGCAGAGACAGGCAGGGCTCCAGCAGGAAGCAGAGGTACAGCAGAGCGAGATGACCAGGCCCTGGCATGAACACAAGTGATTCATGGAGTCTGGAGCCTTTATAGAGCCTGCCATATCCCAAGCCCAGAAGATAGGGGATTCTGTGCTTATAACCATTCCCTCCTCTTGTGGTTTCCAGGTCATTCCCATTCTCTTGTTCTTTAAAGATGTTCCCCTCAACGTGACGGATTGGAGTCTGTGAAAGCCTCTCCCAGGAGGGGCATGGGTGGCTCCCAGAGCAGTCACAGTGGCCTCTAGCACGTGCATATTACAGCTCACAGCCTTAGGTCTTCATCCCAAGGGTTTCTCCTTAACAACTCGGGAACCATGTTTACTGCTTAGCATTTGGCTCTGTTGCAGAATGTTCCAGAACCTCTCATGATGATCTCTGGAGTTCTCAGCTTTCTCCAGTCTGACTGAGCAGCCTCTGGGCCATGGCCCCTGTCTGGCTGTCCTTCATATTCCATGTCACTGATAGAGCTGTGCTTATGCTGCTCAGGCTCTGTACTCTTCTGAGGTCTCTGTTGGTTGAGACCTTCCTTGTCCCTGTGATCCCTGCATGCTTCCTGCTCATTGGGGCATCTAAGAGCTGTCCCCTTCACTGACCTGTAACCCTGGCATCACCTTGCAGCCCCTTGAGGTTATTTTGACTCCCAAACTGGCATTTCTCATGTACTCCATGGGCTTCAAATTCTGCTGTCCACGAAGTCTGCACTCTTCAGCACACATCTGGGTGCCAGATGGGCTCCACAGCATCAGAGGCCAGAGACCAGTAAGGCAGCCTTTGCTGCAGGCACAGGGCACCCACCCTGCTCTGAGTCCCTGCCAGGGTGAGAAGACATGCACTCAACAGTGCTCTGCTGTGCACCACTTGGCTTGTGTTGGCTTGGGTGCCTGTGTGCACTCCTTTGTACAAGGATGTGGGATTAGGGAGGTGCCAGGCATCGTCCTAGCCTCAGAGAGGCTGGGGAAACTCAGAAACTGACAAGTGTGGGGTGGGAAGTGGGTGACTCAGAGGGGCTGGATGGAAGTTTAGGAAGGACCCAGTGCCCCTTTGCTTACCACCCCAAGTATGGAGCTGATGATGGCTTCAGGCCCCACCCTGTCCCTTTCCTCCCCAGGTGAGCGGGGTGCAACCCTGTCTGGTGGCCAGAAGCAGCGCCTGGCCATCGCACGTGCCCTCATCAAGCAGCCCACAGTGCTAATCCTGGATGAGGCCACCAGCGCACTGGATGCAGAGTCCGAGCGGGTGGTGCAGGAGGCCCTGGATCGAGCCAGCGCTGGCCGCACCGTGCTGGTCATTGCCCATCGGCTCAGCACTGTCCGTGCAGCCCACTGCATTGTCGTCATGGCCAATGGCCAGGTCTGGGAGGTTAGTATAAGCCTAGAGAGTGGGTGGTGGGTTAAGGTGGCTCCAGCCATACACAGTGGAGCAGGAGGTACAAACTGAGCTATGTAAGCATCTGGCCTGGTCCTGGGAGCTTGGGGCCATGTAGAAGCAGCATCCCAATAGATTTAGGAGTTCCTGCCCTCAGATGAGCCCCAGCCTCTTGGGGTCTCAGATTCTTCTTTGTCTCCTGGGATACTTGAGCTATACTAGTGGCTCCCAGAATAGGAGGGGAAAGTGTAAAGGGCCGGGGTGGATGTTGGGCCTGGGGTAAGGCTGATCACCCACGGGCTGAGGTGCAGAGCAGTTGAGACCTTGATGGACCAGTCGGGCAGACCTCAGAGAGCATGTGAGCATGTGGGTGTTGCTCAAGGAGATAGGAGGGATTGGATTTCCCCAAAGTTTTGCTGAGCAGGGAGGTGACACTGACTAATATAGCTGTGCCCAGACAGCTCCTTTCAGATGGGGCCCTGATTTCCAAAGGTCCCCAGAAGGGATACTGGCTGAAGTAACTATGAGCCCAATGGCTGATGGTCAGCCCTCCCAGGGCTCTGAACTCAGCACTGGTGGAGTGATCCACCTGCCTGTCTTCTAGGCTGGAACCCATGAAGAGCTCCTTAAAAAAGGCGGGCTCTATGCAGAGCTCATCCGGAGACAGGCCCTGGACACTCCACTGACCTCAGCCACACTTCCAGAGAAGCCAGAAGACCCCAGAAACTGCAAGCATGAATTCTAAGGGTGGCCCTTTAAGGTCGGGTTGCTGCCAAGTAGTGAGGCTGGTCTGGGGGAGCTGGCCAGGGACTGAGCCCCTGGAGGGCCAGCATGCTGGGGATGTGGCTGCCACCACTGCTCCCTGTTCACAATAAAGTTGGGCCCAGCGGCTGGGCTTGGAGGTAGGATCTCTCCCTGCTTGGTCTCTGCCTCCTTCCTGCCAGAGTGCCAGAGTCACTGGACTGCACATTGGTGAGGAATCTCCAAGGCCCTTCTGTTCAGTCCTCTCCCTTTGCTCCAGCTTCAAGGAATTTTGAAAACTGGGGGTTGGGAGCAGGCTGGGAATTCAGACCTAGTCTCTTCCTTACCCTTGCTAGGCCTCAGTTCCTTAAACTAAGGCCTGACCCACACCCTGTGTTCCCACTGTCTCTCCGGACCTGGGAGAGAACCTCTCCTTGGCCCATCCTCCACACAGCCTTCCTTCCTTCCCCTCCTCCAGTCTACAGCACTGATTTCTGGGTTTCACCTCCCCACCCATTCACCTGCACAGGTACCTAATAGCCCTGTTCCTAGGTCAGAGTGACAGGGAAGAACAGGGTGTCCCATACCCACGAGGAGTACCAGCCTGCCTCTGACCTGATAAAATTGGACAGCCTCCCCCTGCATTGAAGACTAAGACAGAACCCGGCACACACCCAGAATGCTCAGCTGCAGGGTCATAGTGCCAACAAGTGCAAAACCAAGTGGGAGTGGTTAATGCGAAGAACAGTGTGAAATTCATCTGAGAAATGGGGAGGCTCATGGAGAAGGTGGGACAGTGGCCTTGGTGGGTTAGCCAAGGCATGGGGGGTGCCCACCTGGAGTTTCCAGCACTACAAGGGCTGAGGAAGGAGGAGGGAGAGTTGGAAACCAACCTGAGCTACATAATTCAAGGCCAGCATGAGGTACATAGCAAGACCTCGTCTTAAAAAAGTGGTAGGATAGATAGGCAGACAGCTCACCCAAGTGAAATGAGTTTATAGTCCCAAAGCTGTGAATAAGCAGGCTTGGGCCCCACTCAGCTTTTTAGATGCCAAGAAAGGTACCTGTGAAAGGCTCTTAAACTGAACTGGTGTCGTCCAGGACCAGGAGCAGTCAAGACCTTGTGTCCTTGTACTACTGCAGATGCACCAGCCCTCCTCACCTGCTCTCAGGATCAGTGGCCTCTTGTCTTGATGCTATCCATGTCACTTCTTATGAAACCAGTTCATGTCCAGCCATGTCCAAGCTGTGAGACTCCACAGAGCCCTGTTCCCCAGAGTAGGGAGAGAAGTACTGCACCTTCATGGCCAGCCAAGCATTTTGGATTCTTACTGTGTATGAAGGGTGGTGCCATCTTTCAGGGACCATGGCAGCAGTACAACTTCAGGATAGCTTCTGATTCACCTTCCACCCACCCACTAGGGAGTAGTGAAACCTCTGGCCATGTGTCTGCATTCACTGTCCTGTAACTTACCTTGCTCTGTCACCTACTTAGTAGATATCAGTAGACTGGCTGTGCTTGGTCTTGAAAGCCTCTTCCAAGAATTAAATGGAGGTAGTCTGTAATGAAGTCTTTAAAAAACCACAGTTGCAGGCTGGGTTATGGTAATATACACCTGTAATCCCAGTTACTACAGTGACTGAGAGGATCATGGTTTAAGGCCAGCCTTGACATAAAGTTAGCAAAACCCCACCTTAATCAGCCTGGCACCGTAGTGCACACCTGTTGTCCTAGCTAGAAGGATTGTGGTCTGAGGCTGGCTCTGAGCAAAACGTGAGACTCTACCTAAAAAATAAAGCAAGAAAAGGACTGGTGCATAGCTCAAGTGGTAGAGCTTCTGCCCAGTAAGCACAAGGCAAACCCTAGTACCAAGACGGTTGCTGGTGGCTCACACCTATAATCCTAGCTACTCAGGAGTCAGAGAGAGATCAGGAGGATCATGGTTCAAAGCCAGTCTAGGCAAATAGTTCGAGAGTCCCTATCTCTCACACAAAACACCTAACACAAAAGAGGGCTGGTGGAGTGGCTCAAGTGGTAGAGCACCTGCCTAGAAAGTGAGAGGTCCTGAATTCATACCCCAGTACCACCACCAAAAAAAAAAAAAAATCAGCATGTGATAGTCTTGGAAAGTGTCATAACTGTGCTACAAGACACCTTATTCACTCATTCCTTCCAAAAAATTATACACCTGTCCTGTGCTGCTGAGCCCGGAATAGTCCCTGTTTCCTACCAGGCCCAAGAAGGACCAGTGTGCAGACAGGCAGGTGCAGCATGGTGGGTCACATTTGGCTGGTGGAACCTATATCTCTACTCCTCATAGCCAGAAGCCACCAAAATGAACCCTGTGGAGGCTCCAGTGCTTTTCAGATGGAGTAGAAATAAATTTCAGTGAATTAATGGAGATAAGCCTGCTTCCTCTCAGGCATACAAGTGACCAATTCCCAGATACACTGGTGGGGGGAGGGGTGAACATTTATTCAGCAGAACTTGACAGTGATGAACAGCAGACCTGGCAGTACCCTGTGCAGGTGCTCTCCGGGGCCCCTTTGCCTCTGAGCCTCAGCCCTTCAGCTCGGCCCAGTTCTTTGTTCTGCTTGAAGCCATCTGGCATTGACCTCGCGGACAGTGGCTGTGTTTGGAGGTCTTTGCTCCAGCCACTGGGAGTGCCTGTCCCCTGCTGTCTTCCCCTCTGGATCATCACAAGTGTCTGTCTCTGGTCACATCACCAGCTGGCTCTGCTCTCTCAAGGGCACACCAAGCTGACTCAAGGGGACAGAGTCCCTTCCTTTGGAGGAATCCCCATACAGAAGAGAGCACTTCCTCTCCTAGTACTGGTAGGAATGCACAATGTCATAACTATTATGGGAGGAGGACGGATGACATTTTTCAAGTTACATAGGCAGTGACCTCTTGACCCAGCGATTCTATTTTTGAGAGTTGACATCTGTGCAATGGTATTGATAGCAGCACTGTCACAGAAGGACTGGAGACCCCCAGTGATCCTCGGGGGTGTGGTTACACAACAGCACATCCCCTAATGGGATGACTCGCAGCCACTTTTCAAAATGAGGGAGATTTCCAGGTGCTGTGTCACACAACCTTTAGGCTTTGTCCAGTGAAAGGGCAAGAAGTAAAGTTGAAGTGCCTCTGATACTTGGGGGTGGCAGGTCAGCCCACACTCATCATGGTTGAGGCCAGCCTCATCAACAGGGATGTGGGGAGATGGGATGTGATTCCTTATGGAGAGAGGGACACTCAGAACACAGAACAGCCCTGCATGTGGGACCTGAAAGGGGCCCTGGCCAGCCAGTGTAGGCTGGGATGCTGGGGGCACAGGAAGAAGAGATCTGCCAGTGCCAAACCCCACCACCCTCTAGCTTGGTTAAGGGCCAAGTCCACTCTGTGAAAGAACAAATCCTAGGTAGGGTTAGTGAGAAGGAGGAGTCAAAAGAGAAGGACGGGCTGGACCAAGGCGCAGCAACTGACCCTTAGATCTGATGTTCAGGAGCTGCAACTGGGAACCAAGAGGGCCCCAGAGGCACCCCCACACCCCATGTATCTCTGGGCTCCCTTCAAGTTCTATTCAGTACCGCTGCGGTTTCCTCCTGGCGCCTCTGGTCTCTGACAGCAACAGCCCCCCCACACTGCACTAATGGCTCAGCCTGGAGCCCCAGGGACCTCCCCCGCCCCCCCAAGACTGCTCTGGCCCCCTTGCCCCCCTCACTGCTGAAACCCAATCCTATGCAGCAGCTCTAGCTCCGCACCACTCCACAGCCCCTGCCTGCCACTGCTGCCTGCGCCCTACCTGGTCTCTGCTGCGGACAGAGCCCCAGCCCAGCACCAATTCCAGCGGAGCTGCCGCCTGTCCTGGGGAAGGCCTAGTTGGACTGGCAAGTCACCTCATCAATCCCACCAGGCCAGTGCCTCCCTACCTCTTAGTCTTGGTTCCTCTCCTGCCCTCACCTCACCTCCCCCTCCCTCACCTGCCTGGCCACCTGAATCCTACCAGCCCTCCAACCTGCCCTCTCTCACTCCTTTCAAGCCGTGTACCTGATTACCAACCCTTCAGGCCTCTCAGCCCCTTCCCCGGGCTCCAGCCATGAAGCCCTCCTCGGGGCTGGAGGAGACCCGGCGGCCAGCTTCAGACATCCGCGTGTTTGCCAGCAACTGCACTCTGCACGGACTGGGCCATGTCTTTGGCCCCGGGGGCCTGACCCTGCGCCGTGCACTGTGGGCCACAGCCCTGCTGCTGTCCCTGGCTGCCTTCCTCTACCAGGTGGCTGAGCGGGTGCACTACTATGGGGAGTTCCACCACGAGACTGCCCTGGAGGAGCGTGAGAGCCACCAGCTCACCTTCCCGGCCATCACCCTATGCAACATCAACCCACTGCGCCGCTCCCGCCTCACACCCAATGACCTGCACTGGGCCGGGACCGCTCTGCTGGGCCTGGACCCCTCTGAACACACAGCCTTCCTGCGTGCCCTGGGCCAGCCCCCGGCACCACCCGGATTCATGCCCAGTCCCACCTTCGACATGGCACAGCTCTACGCCCGTGCCGGTCACTCCCTTGAGGACATGCTGCTGGACTGCCGCTACCGTGGCCGGCCATGTGGGCCTGAGAACTTCACCGTGGTGAGCTAGCTGCCCTAGCTGATCCGCTCAATGACCATAATCTCCAGCCTTGCCAGTCAGGACTCCCCCAAAGTCAGGGAACCTTAACTCTCTCTACCTGGGGCAATCCCTTCCTGCAGGCCACAGGCTCCCCACCCCTTGTGCCATTCTGTTAAGCCCAGGAACCATCCTCCTGGGGAGGATGGCTGCAAGCCCAAGGGTTGGCCTCTGGAGCCCTTGCTCCTGGGGGTGGGGAGAGCTCGCCACTAGAACTGTTCTGGAGCAAAAGACCGTCCTCTCTGCCAAGAGGAGTGGACTTGCTTTCCTCTGCCTCATCACCAGTCCCAGAGGAGTGCAACCAGCACACTTCCTTTTACCCCAGTTGCAGAAGGAACACCCTGCAGGCCGTGCCCCAGGACACAGTGGGAGGTGGAGGAGTTGGAGTGATAGGAAGTGGAGAGTGACATGTGGGTCTGGGGGCATTGAGATGTGGGCTTCAGAGTTCAGAGGAGACCCAACCGGATCATGAAGAAAGCAGTGGCCCCATGTCCACGTACTTGCCTGTCACCCTGTCTGCCCCTCAGATCTTCACCCGGATGGGGCAGTGCTACACGTTTAACTCTGGAGCCCAAGGGACAGAGCTGCTTACCACTCCCAAGGGTGGTGCCGGCAATGGTCTAGAGGTCATGTTGGATGTTCAGCAGGAGGAGTACCTGCCAGTGTGGAGAGATGTGGGTAAGGGGTACATGTATGAGGCTGGGAGTCTGCCCATGGGGAGGGATGCAGGTATGGGATGCACCATGGGACTGGAGGGACACAGAAGGGATACAAAAGGCTAGAAGTAGAGGAGGGGAAGAGGTGCCATGATCTTTCTGTGAGAAGAGGCAGGCCGACTCATTCTAGTCCTAGGGAGAGGGTTGCCAGAGGAGGTCTCTCCTGGGGGGAGCCCAGGTCTCAATGGCCCTCCTCCCCACAGAAGAGACCCCGTTTGAAGCTGGAATTCGAGTGCATATTCACAGCCAGGAGGAGCCTCCTGCCATCGACCAACTGGGCTTTGGAGCAGCCCCTGGCCACCAAACTTTTGTGTCTTGCCAACAGCAGCAAGTAAGTTCACCTGTGCCTCCTCCAACCTTTCCAAAGCTCCGAGCCCTTTTCAGTGGAGCTCCTCAGACCCCAAGCCGCAGTCCCTCAGCCTGTCCTTGAGGCTGGACCGCAGCGACCTCTGTGTTCTCCCAGAGCCTTCTTAACCCCGTTTCTCCATAGCTGAGCTTCCTGCCACCGCCCTGGGGCGACTGCAGCTCCGTATCTATGGATCCCGACTTTGATCCGGAGCCCTCTGATTCCCCGGGTACCCTCAGCCCTAGCCCTCCTTATAGTCTAATAGGGTGTCGCCTGGCCTGCGAGACCCGGTACGTGGCTCGGAAGTGCGGCTGTCGAATGATGCACATGCCTGGTAAGGGACTGGGGTCTGTATTGGGTTGGGGGTGGGGAGAACCTAGGGGCGCTCTGGCTCCTGGAGCTCTCTCTTCCACCCTACCCCAGGCAGCGCGCCAGTGTGCAGCCCCCAGCAGTACAAGGACTGCGCCAACCCGGCCCTGGGTGAGGGCAAGCCTCCTGCCTCCCGTCCCCACCTGCTCCGCCCTTGACCCCGACCCCACCGGCGGGCGGCCCTGACTGCGTCCTCCGTGGCCCGCAGACGCCATGCTGCGGAAGGACGCGTGCGCCTGCCCCAACCCGTGCGCCACCACGCGCTACGCCAAGGAGCTCTCCATGGTGCGGATCCCGAGCCGCGCCTCCGCGCGCTACCTGGCCCGGAAATTCAACCGCAGCGAGGCATACATCGCGTGAGCGGCCCGCGGGCCGGTGGGGGCCAAGACGGGGTGGACACCCTCCTCTAGCGCCCTGGCTTCTGATGGGCGGCCGGGTCGAGTCGCAAACCCTGGGACTCTGGACAAACTGCTGGACCTTTCCAACCCAGGGGATGGACGGTGTTGGCCCACGGCTCTTGAAAGGAGCCAGAGATCCCACGCCCGTTTCCTGCTGAGGACTGCCTTCAAGGGCAGGGGAATGTGTCCAGCCGACAGCCAGGCCCATCTTTTCCTCCAGGGAGAACGTGCTGGTTTTGGATATCTTCTTTGAGGCACTCAACTACGAGATGGTGGAGCAGAAGAAGGCCTACGAAGTGTCCGAGCTGCTCAGTGTGTACTGAGCGCCCGGGCGCGGAGGTGTGGGCGGGGCAGGGAGTTCCAGGTGACTGGGAGCTGACAGGTTTCATGTCTCTACAGGCGACATTGGGGGCCAGATGGGACTGTTCATTGGGGCCAGCCTGCTCACCATCCTTGAGATCCTTGACTACCTCTGCGAGGTGGGCGGGGCCCCAGAGCGGAAGGGGGGTTGGAACCAGGACAGTAAGGTCCAGAGGAAGGTGCTGGTCATCTCCCACTGCCGCTTGCCCTCAGGTGTTCCGAGACAGAGTCCTGGGGTATGTCTGGAACCGAAGGCGCTCCCAAAGGCACTCCAGGGCCAGTCTGGTAACAGCTCCCTTTTCCTCCCCTGCTGCCACCTCCAGCAGAGTGCTGGGCCCTCCCTAACCCAAGAACACTGGCTTTAGTGTGTGTGTCGGGGGGTGGTGCAGTGACCTTGGTTGGTCCCAGGGAGGGATTGTCCCCTCCACCTCCGACCCTCTTCCTCCCACAGATTCAGGAAGGGCTGGATGGCCATCGAACCCACGTTGTTCCCCACCTCAGCCTGGGCCCCAGGTAACTCAAAGTGGCCCCCTAAGGTCAAGGAAGGAGGGGCAGAGCAGGTCCAGAGGGTGGAAGTTAGGTCCAGGAGGGCAGGGTCAGGGAAAGTGAAGTTCTCCTGCCCCAGCACTGTGGCCTGTCCCACCAGGCCTTCCACCCCTCCCTGTGCTGTCACCAAGACTCTTTCAGCCTCCCACCGTACCTGCTACCTCGTCACACGGCTCTAGACCTGCTCTCTGTGAGCTCAGGGCCATGCCTTGACATCTGGACTGTTCAGCCTACCAGCACCTTTGCTGTCTTCACCCCAAATAAAGCTCTAATGCATCTGCCTCGGGTGTTGGTCTCACAGGGCAAACACAGCTGAGCCTAGTGAAGGTCAGCCTCCTTGGGGCATCCTCCGCCAGCCATTATCCAGCTGGACACCACTGCTGAAATGTGGGCCTGGATCCCAGTTAGTCTCCCCCAGAGAGGGTAATAAGATGTCAGCCATTTGCACCTCAGTATGAACGAGTTTATCAGACAGACATCTGAAGAGAGCTCAGGTGTGACAGCACAGAAGAGTGAAGGTCAGTAGGCACTGACTGCTATCAGGATACAGGTGGAAGAAGGTGCTCACCCAGAGCCCAGCAAAAAGGGGTAGGAGGCAGGTTATCATTAGGAGGAGCTACGCCACTTCTAAGAATGCAAGATGATTTCCTGCCTTCAAAGACCATGATTTCTTTTCTCACCTTTGGGACCAAATGTGCTATGCAGCTTGTCTCTGAGACAGCTCTTACTTCTCCAACCTCCCACAGCAGCTGTAGCCCCAACTTGTCCTCTTCCCCTCTTCCTGTCAGGAAGGGCACACCAGGCTCAGCCTTAGAGCCAATTTCCCTCTTTTGCTGCACCCCAATCATTGGAAAACTGGCAAATATGGGTGGAGGGGAGGGGGTGTTCCTGATGGAACCTCATTCTTCGGGTCTCTCCTGCCCCACCCAGCCCACAGATCGAAGTATGGGGGAATAAAAAGGCAGAGTCCACGGGGTGTGGACAGCCACAGGAGAGGCCCAGATATTTTCTGCCCATTATGGTGGAAGGCTATTCTTGCTTACCGATGCTGGCTGCCTGTCCCCTTGGGACTATGTCAGGCCCTCCTGGCAGAGGGAGGCAGGGGTGTGCATGAGTGTATAAGGACATGTGTGTGAAGACAGCCTGCCTTGACCCTAACTGGAAGGTGTGATTGTCAAGGGCTATGGCCCCTGATCTCAGACACTTAGAGTGGACAGCTGGATATGCTGGAGCTGGAAGCAGGGTGGTGGAGTATGGTAAAGTGGGCCAGGGGTCCCTCAGCCCTCTTCAGAGCTACCCCACCACCACATCAGCAGACTGTGGGACAGGAGCCAATTTATGAAATTAAATAAAGTCCATGGAGGAGTGAAGATCTTGGGCCAGGGCAGCTCCTCCCTGGCTGGGCCCAGCACAGCTGGTGCACACATACCACACCCCATTTTTTCTCCCCTCCCTGGAGGGGACTTAAATAGGCCAGGCCCCAGCCTGGCAGCCAGGGATCCCAGGGTCTACGGGGGACAAAAGTCAGAGAAGTAGGGGTGCTGCAGGGCCTCGTCTGCAGAGATGCGCTGCACAGGGTTACACTTCAGGAGATTCTGGAGATGAAGGAAAGGCAGAGTGGGCTCAGGCCAGGTCAGCTGCTCAGAGCCCACCCGCCCCTAGTCCCTCTGGACAAGGGCCTTGACTCCACCACTTCACATTACACCCTGGTCACCTACCTGCAGCAGGTCCCTCCCTGTGGCATTGAGCTTGGGCACGACATTCACCAGTGACGTTGTGGCTGGGTACATTGGATAGGGCTGTGGAGGGGCAGGGAGAGTCAGACCAGAGTGTGCGACTGCAAAATCAAAGGGACCTCTATCAATCATGACACCTCCCCCCCCAAAAGCGCCATCACACCTTATAGTCTGGCAGTTTGGTCATGGCAGGCCACTGCTCCTCCGTCGGTGTCCCTAGCAGCGTGTCCATAGGGTCAAGGGTCATTTGTGGGAAGGGCTGCATTTGCACCTCAGGGGCAAGGTGAGGCCTCTTGCCTCCCTCCTGGTGGGGATCCTCCTTACTCCATTCCTCAGCCTAGCGTGTGATTCACATTTGCCTCACATTCACTCCACCTGCCTGGTATTTAACTAATTCAACTCAATCCTGGATGTCTGTGGTCTTAATGAACCAGGTGTCCTCCCTCCTCCCACAAATGTCTGTTCCTTCTGGCTCCTTCATTCTAAGAATTCACCTCCTACCAAGCATGTACCCTTCCAGCTGCCTCCATCCTTGCCTACAGGCTGTACCTCTACAGTGTGCACCTGTTCAGGGACAATCTGCCCCTCCCCCCACCCCAACGCCAGGAAAACCCTTGGCCCCACCTTCTGACCCAGGCTACTGCCACTGTCAGCCCTTCTCTAAGCTCCCTGCCCGCTCCTTTTCAGAGGGAGGATGACAACCGGCAAAGGACTGAAAGGCAAAGGGAAGTGGAAGGATATCGAAAGATCCTCTTCAGCTGGTCGTCCACGTCATTGCCAGGGAAAAGAGGCCGCCCAGCATTGGCCAGCTCTGAGAGGAAGAGGGGAAAGCCATGACACACGAAGGACCCCTCACTTGGAGGCACCCCCTGTACCTTCCATCTCCAGCCCCGAGGGTCGCACTCCCTTCTTCCACAGGGGACCCTCCAGACCATATTTGTCAAGCCAAATGGGAAATTAAGTGCCTCCGCAGAGCCCCAGTATGTCACCTGCAAAGATGCAGCCTGCTGACCACATGTCGATGGACGTGGAGTACAGCTTGGCCCCAAAGAGGACATCCGGTGGGCGGTACCACAGAGTGACCACCTGGAGAAGACACCACCCACAGGAACCCCCCACACACACACACTTAGAGGGCTAGGGAGAAGGAAACTCCAGAGAGGCAGATGATGCTGTGGGGCCTATAGAAGAGGCTGAGAGAAGCCCAGTGGGGACTCCCTCCCTCATCCCATATTCCATCTCCTGGGCTCACCTCAGCAGAGTAGCATCGGACTGGGATACCAAAGGCTCGAGCCAAGCCAAAATCAGCCAATTTCAGCTCCCCATTCTGAGGGAGAGATGAGAGGGAGACATGGAGAGGGGCTGTTAAACCATTTGGGGCAGGCTCCAGCTCCCCTTCCCTCATCCTACCCCCTTGGTGCTCCCCAACCCTGGCTCCAGCCTCTGCGTTCTTCCCCCCTGCTCCCAGAGTAGTACCCTGTTTATGAGAAGGTTCTGGGGCTTCAGGTCCCTGTGCAGCACATTGCGGCTGTGACAGAATCCGAGGCCTTTTAGCAGTTGGAAGAGGAATGACTGGAGAGAGGCAAGGAGGAGGGAGTCAGACCTGCGAGGCTTCACCCTGCAATGGGTCTTGCTCCCTCCTCACCGTCTCCTGGGTTCCATGGCCCACCGAACTTGCAGCACCACGTTCAGTGGAACACCATACAGTCACTGTCAAGGACTCACTTTGCATGGCACTGAGCATCAAAAGTACAGCAGTGAGCCGGTGCAGGTGGCTCACGTCTGTGATCCTAGCTACTCAGGAGGCAGAGATCAGGAGAATCGAGGTTCAAAGCCAGCCTGGGCAAATAGTTCGAGAGACCCTATCTTGAAAAAACCATCACACACAAACACACAAGAAAAGGTCTGGTGGTGTGGCTCAAGGTGTAGAACCTGAGTTCAAACCCCAGTAGAGCAAAAAAAAAAAAAAAAGTACAACAGGAACAAGTTGGTCCTGCTCCCACCCTTTCTGGATTTTATAGGTTTGTGGGTCTTCCTGCTTTCCCAGTCCCTAGTTATCTCCCTACCTGGCTACACCTGAGCACACACACACCATACCCAGCAACAAAATGCAATTCTATCGTGTTATTCAGGACCTGGGCCAAGGTGCTTGGTCTTGGGCCTAGAACAGTGTCAAGTGCACAGTGAAGCATTCAGGAAGCCATTTTATTTTTATTTATTTATTTGGCAGCCCTGGGCCTCACTCTTGCTAGGCAGGTGCTCTTACCACTTGAGCCACTTCCCAGCCCTTTTTTTGTGATGGGTTTTTTTCGAGATAGGGTCTCCCAAACTATTTGCCCAGGGCTGGCTTTGAACTTCAAGCCTCCTGATTTCTGCCTCCTGAGAAGCTAGGATTATGGGCATGAGCCACTGGTGCCTGGCTAGGAAGCATTTTTTTGTTTCTTTTGATTTTTTTTTGAGACAAGGTATTGCTATGAAGCACAGGCTGGCCTCAAACTCTTGATCCTCCTATGTCAGCTTCCTAAGTGCTGGAATACAGGTGTGAACCAACATGCCTGGGAGTATTTGTTGAATGAATGAAGTGTTTCTTTATAAGCCTCCTTCCTCATCTCTTAAGTACAAATGACATCAGTATCAGAGTGTTACTGTGCAGGTCAAAGGAGACCAGGTAAAAATGTTTGCTAAAATGAAAATAAGAAAATGCTCATTAAAACTGGTGGCCCCTGGAGAGCAGAAATAGGGTTCCTCTGATACCCCAACCTTGTGCTCCAGGAGTGCTTACACTGAATAAAGTTACCCCAGCATTGAAGAGACCCCAGGACACCCCTCCCCTCACCTTCACAATCTCTGGATCGAGATCACCATTGCAGCTGTCGAAATATTTCTTCAGGTCCTAAAAAAGGAGGACGACGGGAGAATGGGAGAGAGCTTAACCTCAGCCTTGACTGCTATACCCTCCCCAAGATCACTGCCCCCCAAGTTCACCTGATCACAGAACTCAAAAACCAAAGTCAGCTTCTTGTCACTATGCAAGACATCATGAAGCCTAGGGAGAAGGAAGGATTCAGTCAGGCCCACACTTACCCCATAATGCCCTATACCAGCCCAGTCTAATGGGAAGCCTGCACCTCCTCCAACAGCCGCGCAGGCAAGGAGGGCCTGCTGCGCACACACCTGACAATGTTCTTGTGCTTCAGCTCCTTGAGGAGGCAGATCTCCCGGAGGGCCGAACTTGGCACACCCTACACGTGGGAGGGAGCCAGGAAACAGCAGTCACAGCCCACCCAGCCCACGCCTGGACTCCCCCTGCCCCAATCCTACCTCATCATCGTCATCCAGCCTCACTCGCTTCAGAGCCACAATTTCATGGGTCTCCCGGTTCTTGGCCTTGAACACTGTTCCATAGGTGCCTAGGGGAAGGAGGGCAGGAGTGAGAAAGGATGGCTATCCTTTTCTTCCTGGAAGTGGAGGGCAGCATCTGAGTGTGCGACGAAAACGTTTCAGTGTGAAGGCCAGCTTTGTGAGGAGGTGGCAGGTGGGGAGGTGCAAAAAGGAGCCTGCAGAGGCTAAAGGGTCCCAGCAGGAGGGAGAGTCTGCAGGCCACAGGGCTAAGGAGAGCTATAATAAAGGTGGTGTTCCGGAAGGGTCTGCAGAAATATTGAAGTTGGAGATCTGCAAACACACTGAGGGTTGGGGTGGAGGAGAGGTTTGCAAGTGGTGCTGAGGCTAGGGTTGGGGATTGAAGGAGGAAGTGCCGAGGTTGGAGTGGGAATCTGCAGGAAATTCTAACGTGAGGGAGAATCGGTGCCTGCACAAAGTGTTGCTCAGCGGCCAGGGCTTCTGCCAGTGCTGAGGTCGGAGCCTGCAGGTATTGCTGATGATAGGGGAGTCAGGGCTGCTAGGAGTGCTGAAGGGTCTGCAGAACAGCACCTTGCAGGAACATATCGTGGTTCTATTACCTTCCCCAATCTTCTCCAGTTTCTCGTATTTCTGCATCGCTGCGGCCGCGGGGACCCCTGCGGGGCCTCGGTTCTAAGACTTCGGCCCCGGCGTTGCAGAGGAGGCGGCACCCCAGCTCCGGCCCCGCCCGCCCAGTTGTCCGCTCGCGGGCTTCTGGAACTTGTAGTCCCGGGACGACCAGATTTCCCAGGAACTCCCGGGGTGGAGTGCAAGAGAACTACAATGCCCAGCAGGCTGCGCTCAGGCTCTCTGTAGCGCTTGACTCCCGGGACTCGGTTCTACCGTGGAGGCAAACCCTGGACTTCAAATCCCAAGAAGCATCGCGTGTCCGCTTTCCCGGCGTCTGTGCGGTGGCGCTGTGGCTCCCAGTGTGCCCTGCTCTTGTTATTCCCTTGCTGTGCTCACTGTCCTTCTGAAAAAGGCCTCTCGGGGACTACGCGTTCCAGAATGCAGCGGGAGTGGGGGTGGGGCGCTCTCTGCTTGGGCTTTGGAGTTTGACGGCCTAGATCCCGGGCGCGGGTGGCCTGGCTCTGACCTGGTTTGTATAGAGGTCTCAGCAACCTCCTGACAACCTCAGCACAAGTTTTCACCTTTTCCTAGGTCCTCTAGCGACCCTGGGATTAATTGGGAAATAGCTCTCAGCGATGTCTTGCTGCTGATGATCTCACAGGGACCAGCTGACCACAGGGTTGGGCAGTGAGGCAGGTGTGCCCCATTAGAGACTGGATTCGAGTGGAGAGACACACGCGCCAGAGACCCCTCTTTCTGCTGGGCCGGGTTTATCGTCTCCAAGCCCATCGAACTCCAGCTGCTCCACTCTGACATGCCGAGGCAAGCTGGCTGGAGCCTGGGAGTACCCCCAGATCCCAGGATCCACAGCAGGCCCACTGGAGTCAGCCAGGGTGTGGCCCACGAGGGCTGGCAGGTTGGTTACCTCCCCCTTAACAGACAAGACCACAGACAGATGCTACACTTGCAGCAGCCTTTACCTCATACCGTCAAGGAGTTGATTATAGATTTTCTTGCACTGCTCTCTAATTGTCTCATGATTGCATTCTTGAGGGCTGTGAACTGGGCAAAAAAGGATCCCAAACAGTGCAGGAACCGGAGTTGGTGCTAACCATTTGTTAATTAACTCACTTATATCTGAGTCTTTTGCATGAACAATGCTGTGACTCACCCACGTGGCGGACTAAGGAAGCAAAGAGGAATAAGCAATAAGGAGTACACATTCCTTATTTGAAAGAATTTATAATTTAGCTGGGAAAACAAGATTACACACAAAGGTCTTTAGTCTTTAAAAGATAGGTGTCGGCTATGAATAGGGTTCCATTCAGTGTGGAGGTAATTCAAAGCAGGGTGTGTTGGAGAGCGTCCTCAAGTTGCCCTGTCCTACGGTAAGACCAGGGTAACGGGCAGCCAACCTCCAGCACTATGGCCGCTCTCACTCGCATGCCACTGTCTCTTAGCAAACACAGGGGGTTTCTTGGAGGCACTGGGGGTGGTTATTGGAGGTGGGAGCGGCGCAAGAAATTCTAAACCCCGATGTATTTATATTTCAACTTGCTTCGCTTCGAATTTCCGGGTTATCCTGGGCACGTTGGGTCCCCAGCGTGAGGCTGGCTCCTTTCCGCCCAGAGTTGCCATAATAGAGCCAAGAGACGGCGTCCCTGGGGCGTCTGAGCCCTGAGCGGGGAAGCCCGGGGCGGAAACCTCGCGGAGCCGGGCTGAGGGTCAGCGGGGATGCCCCCCAGCGCTGGGCTCCGCGTGCAGGGCTGCGCGTGGAAGCGCGCCCCCACCCCCGGGTCTCGGCGCCGGCTCTCCGCCTCTCAGCCCGCCGCGCCGGGGCCGCGCACGGCGCGCTGGGGGGCGCGCACGCTGGGGGCTGGCCTGCCCGCGGCGCGGGGGAAAGTTGAGTTGGAAGAAGTTGGGAGCGGCGGGGGCGCGCCCCAGGGTGGGCACCGCGAAGCCGTCGGGAGCGCGCGAGGGCTCCAGAGGACCGGCAGAGACCCCGAGACCCCGGGGCACGAAATCCAGAGCAAGCGGGTAAGCGGATAGGTGGTGGCGGGAGAGAGCCAGGGCGGCGGAGGGAGGAAGGGAGGGGGAAGGAGAGGGGGAACTCGGGACTCGAGCAGGGAGGGAGTGGAAGTGGAGAAAAGGGCGGGGACTGGGTTGCGGGGAAGAAGGTCTTGGGGATAGGGATGAAGAGGCGAGCGGAGTGCTGGTCAGAAAGCGGGGATTCCGGGGTCGCTCCTTAGAGTTTCCTAAAGCCGGGGTGCCGCGCCCCCTGCCACCAGGAGGGGGTAGTCTCAGGGAGGTGCTGCCTCCAGCTCGCTCTCCCACTGCTGGGCGAGCTCCAGACGAAGCCCCCACCCCTGCGACTCGCCCACAGTGCCCCTTAGTCCTGTTCTGGGTGACCAGTCTGGGGGTTGCTGGGGCCCTCCGCCCCATCTCCGGGTTGGGAGGCGGAGCCGGGAAACGGCGGGAGGGGGGTGGTGGCGGGTCAGGTCAGGACGGGGGTCAAGCAGAAGAGAGAGCAGCTGGGTGGGGATGGGAAAGACGTGCTTGAAGAGTTGGACCTGACTTTTGGGGGGCTGCCTTGTTTGGATGAGGAGCCCTGTGCTGGATTTGGGGGTGGCGCTGCCTGAAATCCAGGGTCCACTTTATCCACCCTCCTCTCTCCTGCCAGCCCCACAGCCAAGAGCTGTGGAATGTACGAATTCACTTGGGTAGTGGTTAATGCCCAAGTGGGGGTCCGTGGTGCTAATCCCGTGGGCAAGGGGAAAGATGCTAATCCTCTGGGCGGGTTGGGGCTGGTCCCCGGAATGTGCCCCCACTCGGATTATGGACACCGATGTTCTGGACAGAGGCTGCTTTGTGTTCTGGGACAGCGCGGGAGGGGTGGGGGCGTGTGGGTAGAGGGAGGAGGGGATTGTGGAGGAGCACCCTGAGGGCAGAGCCTGGAGGTGGGAGTAAGTACCTGCAGGTGCTGGGGACTGACTCCCCCACACCCCTCCCTGGGCACTTCTCCCCCATACTAGCTAAAGGCCTGCTGAGGGGGAGGTGGAGGGAACAGTCAGTTGAGTTGGAGTGCCTGCCAGGAATGTGTCACCCAGGCTCCCCACCCTGGACTGAACCCCCCAGACCTTTATTTTTTGACCCTACATTGAACTGTCTTACCCCCAATGTAGTCCTAAATAAAGCAATCCTGACTCCCCAACAACACATCTGGAACTTCATATTGTTACCTTCAGAGCCCCTTGGGTGCTGCCCTGTACTGCTGTCACTGGGGGAATAGGTACCCGGATTTGCACTGGTTGGGTTCCCTCCAGCCTGTCTACTGCTCCAATCCCCCCACCCCCAACACAGTGCCACCCCCCCAACAGTCACCATCAGGAGGACAGCAGCCCTGCCACTCACATTTTCCAGGCCTCAGACTAGGGAGAGGAGGGATAGGGACTGCCCCTCAGGCTTTCTGTGCCCATCCCCTGGGAGCCATCACGTGCCCCTCCCCCATTATAAAGCTCTGCCCAGCAAGAGTCCACTGTTGCCCCTTCCTCCCTCCTACAGAATAGAGCTGGGCTGCTGCGCTTTACCCTAGGAGCCGGCTTCAGTCCTGCCTACAGGCAGCAGGGGGAGGGGTGCCTCCCTGCCTGGTCTGCCTTGGGGAGGGGGTGCCCCCTCCCTACTGACAGGCCCCCTGCTTGCTGTCTTGGGCTCTCTCCAGAGTTCTTTCTTGCCCTCTCCTGTCTGGGCAGCCAGCCCCCTTCTCCACACCCCTCTGCTCCACAGGGTGTCTCACTCTTCACCACACCCCTCTCTGGTCGCAGGCCCACCTCCAGGGTTCCTATTTCTGCCTGGCCCTTTACTCCCGTTCTTTCTCTGTCCTTTATCTCTCCCTCCCTCATCTCTGTTGCTTTCTCTCCAGGGCTGGGCCTTGACTCCTTCCTCCCTCATTTTTTGCAGCCTCTCCCCATTCCTGTGTCTCCTCCTCTGCTCAGTCTCGAGGCCCTTTATGGCTTCCATTGCCTCAGTCTTCCCCTCATCTCTCTTTGGTCTTTTCTTCCTATAAATAACTCTCCTCTTTGCTCTTGCCACCTCTAAGGGCCATTCTGAGGTCTTCATAGTCTAGGAGGATCCTGAGCATCGAGACTGTGCAAGCAGCTGGGGCTCCTTTTCTCCCCTGGGTCAGGCGTCCTGCTGGCCAGGCCTACTCTGCTCTCCTGTCCCATGGTGACTGGTTCTCTCCCCCACCCAGGTTATGCCTCCACCTTGTTGCCCTGAAAGCCGCAGCGACAGTGAAAAGGGTTAAGATTTGGCCATGAGCAGCGCCCCCAGGCGCCCCGCCTCGGGCGGAGATTCCTTCCACAAGGTGAGTCCTGCCTGTGGGTCAGCTAGTCCCGATGGCCAAAGGTATTCCAGCCTGGAGGTGTGGGGGGCGGCATTCATAAGCTCAGGAAAGGAGGCTGTGGTGGATTGAGAGAGAGGTGCTGCCATCTGCACCCTGACCTCGTGTGGAGTGTGAAGGTGCGGGAATGGGTGAGAGGGGACAGATGGCTCCCATTCCTGGGGTGGGAGTTGAGGGTTTTTGCTGAAGACACAGGGTGGTAGTTTAGTCTTAGCTGGACAGAAACTTTGAGAATGAGGACCTTGGGTTTCCCCCTACAACCGAGCTTTAGATCCTGGGGTTGGTTCGCACAGGTCTGGAGGTCCACATGTAGTAGTAGTTCTGGGCACTGGGCAGAGTTAGCTGGCCATAGTTGGCCCCGCCCCAGCCCCGCCTCCATGTGCCACCCAGGCCTGCCCTTCCCACCCCCCCCATGGCCACCGCCCACAAGTCCCCCTCCTGATTTTCCTAAGAAGTCTAATGATTAACCTCAGTGCCACAATCAGCCCCTTATTGGTCACTTTGGCCCAGCGGGGCACGTGACTGAGAAGGGGCGCAGGCAGGTGTCCTCCCCCTCCTTCCCAGGTTCACCCCTGCCGCCATGGACTTCCTCCTGCGGCCTCAGGTGCGAGGGGTCCTTGACCCACCCTCCCCCTCCCCAGCCTTCCGAAGCTCCCTCCCCAGTGACTTGCTCCTCTGCCTGCTTCTTCCTGCCTGCCTGCTTCTGTTGGGAATGGGGCTGAGGGCTTGGGGGGAGCCCACTGGAGCTACAGAGATGGCTGGGCAGGAGCCCTCCCAGACGGGAGATGCCATCCTTCTGGCCCTCCCATCCTCTCCTGTCCAGTGCCCCTGCCAGCTCTTGGTGCTTTTGGCTGCACCCCACCCCTGTAGGTCTCCCCAAGACCCACCCTTCATCTGGACCTCCTCCCCTGGTTCTTCCTTGCTTTAGCGGCTGGCACTGCCATGGAGGGGGCTGCATACCCCTGCCCTTGGAGGTCCTGATGCCCTTCAGGTCCAGAGGCTCTTGAGCAAATATTTGCCGGAGTCGCTGGGAGCTGAGACCAGCAGAGGGTGGGTGGGAGGCTAGACCAAGGCTGCCAGACCAGGCTGGGCCAGGCAGCAGCCCGATTAGGCAGCTGAGCTCTCGCAAGCTCTGCAGTCCCTGCCCTGAGCTGGCCCTGCTGGTGCTGACTGCTGCTGCTGCTGCTTTCCTGCAGGATGACTCAGGTGGGGGAGTGGGGGTGGGGTGAGGGGGTGGGGCTAGCTGGCTGAGGGGCTGAGTGGGGATGAATGGCTAGGTGGGAGTGCTTGCTACTGTGGATGGGAGCTCCCTTGGCCAGGCAAGCACATGCATTCCTGTCCAGGCAGGGCTGGGGTTTGGCTCAGACCTACTCCAGGGCAGTTAAACTTAAGACGCCTCCAGAAGTTACTTTTGGGGCTCAGCAGTTGTCCTACAGCCAAAAGGAGTTTCTTCACTTTCTGCCACATGAACTGTTCAGTTCACATTCCCAGCTGCAGAAGGACTGGATGCAGGAGTTCTGAGGAGACTTCTAGAGTGGGCCCTTCCACCTGCCTTGGAGCTGCCTGGCACTGAGTGTACAGACAGGGTCCAGAGAGCTGGAAACTCAGGGAACAGGTTGCGGATCTGACTGGGTCCCTGGCATTGGAGGGGCAGCTCCTGGGGATGTGTTCAATTCCTGCATTTGAGAGGACAGGTTGCTGATGGGGACTAGGTCCTTGACATTAGATGGGTAAGCTGCTGGGTCCCTGCATTTGAGAGGACAGGCTGTAGCAGGACTGGGTCCGTGGCGTTGGAGGGCACAGCTGCCGGAGAGAAAGATCTCTGGCCCTGGATGGAGTGGGGCTTTGGGGTGAGCATCTGTGTGTCCTCTCCACCCCTCTTTCTCACAGCCAGAGCCAGAGAGTTTGGGTCCTGGGACACCTGGGTTCCCCCAGCAGGAGGAAGACGAACTTCACCGCACCCTGGGCGTGGAGCGGTTTGAGGAGATCCTTCAAGAAGCTGGGTCCCGTGGAGGGGAGGAGCCAGGCCGCAGCTATGGGGAGGAAGACTTTGAGTGTGAGGGGGCAGGCAAGGGAGGTGGAGGCTGAGGGCTTGGGCTGGACTGTCCAGCAAAGAAGGGACTGGGTTCCAGTGGGAGGGGTTGCAGTTGGGAGCCAGGATGGTGGGGGAGGGATGCTGTACCTGTCAGTAGCCAAGCCCCTCCTCCCCTGCAGACCACCGCCAGTCCTCCCATCACATCCACCACCCACTGTCCACTCACCTGCCTCCTGATGCCCGACGCCGCAAGACTCCCCAGGGCCCAGGACGGAAGCCAAGAAGGCGCCCTGGAACCTCCCCCACTGGGGAAACCCCCACCATTGAGGAAGGGGAGGAAGATGAAGATGAAGCCAGTGAAGCTGAGGGAGCCCGGGCACTCACACAGCCATCCCCTGCCTCCACACCTTCTTCTGTGCAGGTGAGTGGTACCTGAGCTCCTGGGGAATGTCTGTAGGGCCCTGGCCTGGCCTCACCTTACCTCATGGCTTCCTGTTGCAGTTCTTTCTCCAAGAGGATGAGGGTACCGACCGGAAGGCCGAGAGGACTAGTCCATCTCCCCCTGTGCAGCTGCCCCCTCAGGAGGTGGCACCCCGGGCCACCAAAGGGGCCCAGACTGGGTAAGGACACTGTAATCATTGGTGTTCCAAGCAGACATGTCTCCTGCTAGATCAGGAAGGGAATGAGGGAGAAAGCCAGAGTTTTGGAGTCACCAGGCTGGGGTTCAGATTGTAGGTCAGTCACCTTTCACCAGATGTCTGGGCAGATGACAGCATAACAGCACAATTCTCCCAGGTAGGGATTACAGGGTAGTTTAGTAGTCTTTAAGATGCCCCTTGGCCCCCCCATCCCCATCCCATCACTGACTGGGTACTAGGCTGGTGACCTCCCAGCACCTGCTGGGACTCCAGGTCTTGAGAGAAAGAGGAGAACCCCCTACTGTTCTTGGGGAGCTGCCAGTCCACCAAATGTCATCACATGAAATGGCACCAAAACGTCATCACTGCAACCAGGGGCCTGGCTCTGGCATACTTCAGTGCCAATGGTGATGGGAGTTTGGGGGCACTTGCCAGAGAAGGCTTCCTGGAGGAAATAACTTTGAACAAGTTCTCAAGGTCATGACTATCACAGACTTGTTTTCTGGGTACCAGGCAGCGTGAAGGGATTTGGGTAGTGAAGGGCATGGTGCCCCTCAGGAGAGTGAGTACATAGGCTTGCTGGGAGCCAGGCTGGCAAGGGAACTGGCAGCAGGAGCCTCAAGGAAAGCCTGACACTGGGAGATGAGTGGAGAGGTAGGCAAGGCTGCCACAAAGCCAGGGCACCAAGCTGTGGTATGCAGGAAGCCTGGCATTGGATGTCTGGTCCTGGAAGGGACACAAGCTCCAGTCTTGGAGAACCTCTGTATCAGGAGAGAGAAGGATGATATGGCAGGGACTGGGATACTGGTGGTGGGAAAAGGGGCAGGAGCTGTGAGGTGCAGACCCTCCTCACAAGTCCAGGGAGCTGGCTGTAGTTTCATAGACCGTCTCCATGTTCTTCCTCTCTTTGATCAGAAGTAGAGGACCTTGTGAACCTTTGAGTCCTGTGGTTAGAGCTGTGCCTGGGAGGGCAGAGGGACAGGAGAACCAACGCTAACTAACATAAAGAAAATTCTAGAACATCTGCTATGAGCTAAGCCCTGTACTGCTACTTTTCAAAATGTCACCTCCTACAGCAGCTTGGGGCTGGCCTCATCCCATTCTACTGAGGAGGGGTTTATGTCCAGATAGTCCTTGGGGTTTCTGTGACTGTTGGGGCTGCATGGCCAGGAAAGGTGAGAGCTGGGATCCAAATGCTGGCAGTCCACTTCCAGAATGCTCCCTATTTCCACATCCCCACATTCCAACAGTGGCAGCTAAGAGGGTGTGATCCATGTGGCCCCTTGGAAAGCTCCCCTGAATGGGGGAGTGGGAGGGCTTTCCCAGCTCATGGCTTGTCTGTCTGCAGAGCCCTGGTGGAGGAAGCTGTGGCAGTGGCCAGTGGCGCAGCTGCAGGTGACGATGGAGGTGCCTCAGGGCGCCCCCTGACCAAAGCCCAACCTGGACATCGCAGCTACAACCTTCAGGAAAGAAGGCGCATTGGGAGCATGACTGGGGTGGAACAGGCACTGCTGCCTCAGGTTCCTACTGATGAGAGTGAGGCCCAGACGCTGGCCACAGCTGACCTTGATCTCATGAAAAGTGAGTGCTGATGGGGCCCTGGCCAAGCTCATTGTAGGTGGGAAAAGGAGTAAGAGAAAGGTGAGCCTGATCCTTGCCCTGGCCCTCTGCTTGCCCCCAGGTCACCGATTTGAGGATGTTCCTGGGGTACGGCGACACTTGGTACGGAAGAATGCCAAAGGGTCTGGGCAAAGTGCCCGAGAGGGACGAGAACCTGGCCCCACGCCTCGGGCCCGGCCCCGGGCCCCCCACAAGCCTCATGAGGTATGGGTCTCTGTGTTGTTCCATTGTCTTCCATCCGTCCCTGGTCCCTGGCCCCTGGCCCCTCCTCTGCCCTCTTGGCAGACCAGTAGTGACCTGGAGCCCTGGTGTGGCCCCTATGGGCCACAGGTTGCGTACTGCACCCTTACAGCGGTGTGGGTTTGGGCATCAGGCTTTGGTTTCCATCTGAGATGTTGTTGATTTGCATGTTGTAACTGTGTCCCACCTGAGACATCGCTAATGTGTTCACCATGGCCACTTCTGGCAGATGGCAGCAAGGAGTCTGAAGAGGAAGTATCTTTTCCTGGTTTGAACAAAGGACCTTCTAGGCTGGACAGGGCTCCATGTACCACTGCACTTCATTTTCAAAACCCAGTCACCTCTGTGCTCATTTGACCCTCCCAACAACCTGTGAAGGTGGCAGCACAGGTGGTGTCAGCTATAAACCAGGGTCTGTCTGTGACTTGGCCAAGGTCACTTAGTTACTTAGTGACACTGCCCATCTTTGACTGCAGGGCTCTGGTCCTGAACTCTGACTTAGTGTAGTTTTTCAAACCTTTTTATTGAGGTGTAATAGCCCTGCAGTAAACTGCACCTGTGCTAAGTGTCCAGCTCAGAGACATGTTACACCCACAGCAGCCAGATCGCCCCTGCCCAGCTGGAGACCGTTCCCACCCTTGGCGAATTCCTTCCTGCCCCCGCCCTAGCAGTGTCCTGCAGAGGTGATCATACTTTGTCATTTGTAGTTGGTTGTGCCAGTCCTAAATGTGAGTAAACAGAACAGTGCGGAAGCCTGTTTTCATGCACAATGGCCCTGGCCAGTGTGGAGTCCTACAGCCTGCTGATGTTTACAGTCTCTTTCTTTAATCCTCATGATAGCCCTTGGAGGTGGGCGTCATTGTTGTCATTTTGTAGACAAACGAAATGAGGCGTCAGATTGGTTAGTCACGTATGCCTGTGTGCCATCCACCATGCTCCCACAGTCTCTTGTCCCTCCCGAGCCACTTCTCCCAAGTCGTATCCCAGGCCACCACTGTATGTACATCTCATCTCACTGTACTTTCTCCCATCCAGGTGCTAACCAGGCCTGACCCTGCTTAGCTTCCGAGATCAGACGAGATCGGGCACGTTCAGGGTGGTGTGGCCGTAGACCTCACTGTACTTTCTCATCTCACCCTAGGTGTTTGTGGAGCTGAATGAGTTACTGCTGGATAAAAACCAGGAGCCCCAGTGGCGGGAGACTGCCCGCTGGATCAAATTTGAGGAAGATGTGGAGGAGGAGACAGAGCGCTGGGGAAGCCCCACGTAGCCTCACTGTCCTTCCGTAGCCTCCTGGAGCTCCGCAGGACCTTGGCCCATGGTACTCACCTCGTCCCCCTGCCTGTTCTCACTGTGAGAGAAACTTCCTGCTCCTAGGCCTCATAGCTAAAGTTACTATGTTTTGGGTACTAAAATGTCTTTAAAAACCATTTCGATGGAAAGCTTCCTGAAATTCCTGGCATGCCTTGTTAGCATCTTAGAGGATCTAGGATGCGGTCTAACCTGTAGGGCTGTAAAAACTTCACTAATAACCACAGACACAGGACTTTCGAGCCCTATGACCACTTGTTTCCTTCTTCCTGTTGGGTAATCACTCCCAGTTGTTCTTTGAAGGCCTGTTTCTAAGCAGCTGAGGACTGAGAAATCTGCTGTTAGAATTTTTTACAAACTAAGTGTAAACAGACTCTGAGGGTGGCTCTGGTGCTTTGGGTAAAGTGCCTGCCAGGGTGCAAGAGCTTTATCACTAGTTTTGTGATCTGTTTTGGCTGCTCAGGAGCCTTTGATTTTGTTTCTTCTTTAGTGCTCTGTCCCTGAAAGTTGACCTTGCCAGATAAATGGCCTGGTACCTTTTGAAAGGACTTTCATTTCTATATGAGACAAAGAAGAGAGAGGTCTGTAAGCGCCCACTGAGCAGCCATTAGGCTTGCAGAAGCAAAGGAGAAGTCAAGAAGCCTGGGGTGGAAGAGAAGGCCTCAGGTGGCTAAGGGCTGCCATGTGGACAAGGCCACAGCACAGACGAGCTGTGATTATTCCAGAGAGAGAGAGTGAGGACCCCAGAGGACTGTCAGAGGAGGCAGCACATGGCTAGCTAAGAGGAAGAACTTTCTAACAGCAAACAGGGTTTACCCAGAATGGCCATGCTGGGCATCCTGAACTAGATGTTCCCTGGAAGGGGTGTCTGGTGACTGAATTTTGTTGGTCTCTTGTCAGCCTCACAGCATCCTGGGAGAGGATGGGGTGGGGAGGAAAGAGGCATACATACAGATGTTGGGCAGAGCTGGGACTCAACCCTGCTCCCCAATTTGTAGACCTGTGCCCTGACCCCTGGACCACACCCACCTGGCTGCCTCAACCTACCATTCTGTCCTCCTCCACTGTTGTTTCTTGCCCTGGGGTGAGGAGCCCTCTCTGCCATCTTTATTTCAGGGGCTGTGCTCTTGGACCTGGACCAGCAGACCCTGCCTGGGGTGGCCCACCAGGTGGTGGAGCAAATGGTCATCTCTGACCAGATCAAGGCAGAGGACAGAGCCAATGTGCTGCGGGCCCTTCTGCTGAAACACAGGTATAGCCCTGCAGGGCAGAGGGACACTGGTATATCCTGCCCACCTGACCCCTGTTCCGTGTTGCCCCCTCCTCACCCTCGCTGCTCTCTGTCCTACCAGCCACCCAAGTGACGAGAAGGAATTCTCATTCCCCCGCAACATCTCTGCTGGCTCCCTGGGCTCCCTGCTGGGGCATCACCATGCCCAGGGTACTGAGAGCGACCCACATGTCACAGAGCCACTCATTGGAGGTGTTCCCGAGGCCCGGCTGGAGGTGGAGCGAGAGGTAAGACAGCAGGCCCTGCCTGGGGCTGGAGGCAGAACTTTGAACAAGCTTCAGGGTAGGAGGAGGTATTGGCTGGGCTGAGCACAGTTCTGTGCCCTGCAGCGTGAGTTGCCACCTCCAGCTGCACCAGCTGGCATCACCCGCTCCAAGTCCAAGCATGAGCTAAAGCTGCTGGAGAAGATCCCAGAGAATGCTGAGGCCACAGTGGTCCTTGTGGGTATGTGTGGCAAGTCTGGGAGGGGTGGGTATCAATGGCCAGGCCTCAGGGCCTTCCTGGACTGGGGGCTGGGAGGTTCCTGCTACCTGCTCTTGCCCATGATGGCCCAACACCCCTAGGCTGTGTGGAGTTCCTCTCCCAGCCTACCATGGCCTTCGTGCGCCTGCGGGAGGCTGTGGAACTGGACACGGTGCTGGAGGTGCCTGTCCCTGTGCGCTTCCTCTTCCTGCTGCTGGGCCCCAGCAGCGCGAACATGGACTACCACGAAATCGGCCGCTCCATCTCCACCCTCATGTCTGACAAGGTCAGCTCCCTCCCCATCTGGCCCTGCTCCCTGGTGCCACCACCACCCCTGGGCCAACCTGGCCCCATGCAACCTGTCCTGCCACTGATCTAGCCCAGCCTCAGCTCCAGGCCTTTGGCCTCCTCCTGGTACCCTCCTTGATCCCCACCTGTGTTGGCAGCAATTCCATGAGGCAGCCTACCTGGCAGATGAACGGGACGACTTGCTGACTGCCATCAACGCCTTCCTGGACTGCAGTGTGGTGCTGCCGCCCTCAGAAGTGCAGGGCGAGGAGCTGCTGCGTTCAGTCGCCCACTTCCAGCGTCAGATGCTCAAGAAGCGAGAGGAACAGGGACGGCTGCTGCCCCCAGGGGCTGGGCTGGAGCCCAAGTCTGCCCAAGATAAGGGTACGCCCATGTAGGCCTGGGACAGATGGGGCTTCCTGAGGAGGGGTTCTGGGGGAGGAGGGCCTCACAGGCGCCCTGACGGAGGCCTGGGTTGCAGCGCTCCTGCAGATGGTAGAGGTGGCAGGTGCAGCCGAAGACGATCCTCTTCGGCGGACAGGCCGGCCCTTTGGGGGGCTAATCCGTGATGTGCGGCGCCGCTACCCCCACTACTTGAGTGACTTCCGTGATGCACTTGACCCCCAGTGCCTGGCCGCTGTCATCTTCATCTACTTCGCCGCTCTGTCTCCTGCCATCACCTTTGGGGGACTGCTAGGTAAAGAAGAGGCTTTGAGGGTGGTAGCAGGAGTGCACAGGACCTGGCCACCAGCTGCTGAGCTTGTTCCTGTGCCCTCAGGAGAGAAGACGCAGAACCTCATAGGGGTGTCAGAGCTGATCATATCCACAGCACTCCAGGGTGTGGTCTTCTGCCTGCTAGGGGCTCAGCCTCTGCTGGTGATTGGCTTCTCTGGGCCTCTCCTGGTCTTCGAGGAGGCCTTCTTCTCGGTGAGACCCTTCCTGTCCCGTTCAGCTGCCCTTCCTCTTCCCAAGAAACCTCTCCCGGTACCCTCCAAGCTCTGTGCCTGATAGCTCCTTTCCTCACTTCCAGTTCTGTAGCAGCAATCAGCTGGAGTACCTGGTGGGCCGTGTATGGATCGGCTTCTGGTTGGTGCTGCTCGCCCTGCTTATGGTGGCCCTGGAAGGAAGCTTCTTGGTCCGCTTTGTCTCTCGCTTCACCCAGGAGATTTTTGCCTTCCTCATCTCCCTCATCTTCATCTATGAGACCTTCTACAAACTGGTCAAGGTGGGCAGGCCCTAATGAGATGGAGGCCTCTGGGCAGGAGGGAGCCCCAGGCACCCTGTTGTGTCTCTTGCTCTTTGTTCTGAACATGAGGCCAGGCTGGTCCTCATGTTCCCTAGGCCTACAGTTCATGGAACACCACCCCCCACCCCCGGCACCCTGGCCTCCCTGTCATCTACACAGGCCACAGTTCAGATCAATCTTTCAAAAACTCACGTATTTTTATAGCAAAGGTAACACTCACTTTTGTTAAAATGTCAGACAATTCAGGAGGGTGGAAAGAAAATGGCCCAAAGGTGACACACAGTTATGGTCTGGCTATCAGACACCTGTGACGGGCTTGGGAGATGCCACCCCTGGTCCTCTGTGCTTATGTCCTCTTCCTCCACCAGGCCCCTGCATCCCTTCTTTGGATATTCCTGACTCAGCCAGCTCCTCAGATCCTCTCTTAGTCCTGGGTAACCCTGTGCTCACAGATTGCCCACTGGATCATTTTCTTAATCCAACAAGACAAGCTCAAGTGGGTGTGGTGATGCACACCTGTAATCTCAGCATTTAAGCAGAGGCAAGAGGATTGTAATTCAAGGCCAGCCTAGGCTGTATAGCAAGTTGTAGGGAGTACAGGTTAAATAGTAAGACCTTGTCTCCAAAAAAAAAAAAGAAATGCAGACTGACTCTGCCTGCTCTGGCCACCCAGCATCCAGCTGAGCTCTGGAGTACTCACTCCAGTTCAGCCAATAGAGTCCTTTGTGGTCCTTCCCCAGATCTTCCAGGAGCATCCTCTCCATGGCTGTTCAGTCTCCAACAGTTCAGAGGCAGATGGTGACAACGTGACTTGGGCCAGGGCAGCAACCACACTGGAGCCAGGCAATGGGAGCTTGGCTGGGCAGTCTGGACAGGGGAGGCCCCGTGGCCAGCCCAACACAGCCCTGCTGTCACTAGTTCTTATGGCTGGCACCTTCTTCATTGCCTTCTTCCTGCGTAAATTCAAGAACAGCCGGTTTTTCCCTGGCCGGGTATGTGGACTTAAAAACCAGAGGGAGATGGGAACAGGGAGGGAGGTGACTAGGAGTGGGACCGGAGGCCTCTGAGTACTGTGCTTGCCCTCAGATCCGGCGGGTCATCGGGGACTTTGGGGTGCCCATTGCAATCCTCATCATGGTGCTTGTGGATTACAGTATTGAAGACACCTACACCCAGGTAAGGAAGTGCATGAGTGACAATGAGGAGGTGCTGCATGGAGCTGGGCTGCTTCCACCACCTTGGGCTCTGGGTTCCAGCCCCCAGGCAGAACCCATCCTTAAGCTGGGCAGACACCAAGCCTTTTCCGTGGTGTGCTCTCCGTGTCCACCCTGCCCATGATCCTACTGTCTGCCCTGCAGAAGCTGAATGTGCCCAGTGGATTCTCAGTGACAGCCCCTGACAAGCGGGGCTGGGTCATCAACCCCCTGGGGGAGAAGAGCCCCTTCCCTGTGTGGATGATGGTGGCCAGCTTGCTGCCCGCTGTCTTGGTCTTCATCCTGATCTTCATGGAAACACAAATCACCACGTGAGTCGTCCTGCCTGAGAGGCTACGGGGCTGTCATGGGATCAGAGTCCCTGGGCAGGCTCTGGGACAGCATGGGAACTGGCACTGTTGGGCAAGGGAACACAAGGACCCTGGGGGGGAGGAGGACCTTGAATACCAGGCTAGCCAAAGTTTGTTTTGTAGGCAGGAGAAATGGCACTGACATTGACCAGGGTGGGGACAGAATGCAAGCCAGGTGGGATGGACTGGCAGGGCTTTCTGGGAGGGGTCCTTTGCATAAGGGCTGAGGGCACAGATTCAGCTGCTGATGGAATTCTAATCCTGACGGAATGGACAGGGACCACCAGGTTCTGTAAACAGACTGGCTGGGGTGTTCCGGAAAGGTGTGATCTGCCATACTGTGTGTCGCCTGGCCTCAGTGGTGCCCTCTCCCCATCAGGCTGATCATCTCCAAGAAAGAGCGCATGCTGCAAAAGGGCTCTGGCTTCCATCTGGACCTGCTGCTCATTGTGGCTATGGGTGGCATCTGTGCCCTCTTTGGCCTACCCTGGTTAGCTGCTGCTACCGTCCGCTCTGTCACTCATGCCAATGCCCTCACTGTCATGAGCAAGGCAGTGGCGCCTGGGGATAAGCCAAAGATTCAGGAGGTCAAGGAGCAGCGAGTGACAGGGCTGTTGGTGGCCCTGCTTGTTGGTATGCTGCCCTTACTCTCCCCCTTTCCCATGGGTCCCCAGGGCCACTGGGGGAGAAACCTGGAGCCAACTGTTTCTCCCCCTCTCCAGGCCTCTCCATGGTTATCGGGAATCTGCTCCGGCAGATCCCACTGGCCGTGCTCTTTGGAATATTCCTGTACATGGGAGTCACCTCCCTCAACGGGATCCAGTTCTATGAGCGGCTGCACCTGCTGCTCATGCCACCCAAACACCATCCAGATGTCACCTATGTCAAGAAGGTGAGTCCTCACCCGGAATAGGCCCTAGACCCTCACCCGGGCCAGTTCCCATTTGCCTCTTCTTTGTAGAGTGGGCTCTGGAGGCACGTGAGATACTTCACCCCTCTCTCTGGAGGGGAAGGAGGGCCATCATCGTTTGGATGTGGCTGGCTCGCTGGGGGAGAAGCCTGGGCTACCTTGCCTCTGCCCTCCAGGTTCGGACCCTACGGATGCACCTGTTCACTGCCCTGCAGCTGCTCTGCCTGGCCCTGCTCTGGGCTGTCATGTCCACGGCTGCCTCCCTGGCGTTCCCCTTCATCCTCATCCTCACAGTGCCGCTGCGCATGGTGGTGCTCACCCGCATCTTCACTGATCGAGAGATGAAATGTGTAAGGACCCCCGCCCCCTCCCCTCCAACCCTTCAGACCCTCCATGTTCCCATGGTTCTAGAAGGACCCACCGTTCCCTTCCTCCCACAGCTGGATGCTAATGAGGCGGAGCCTGTGTTTGATGAACGCGAGGGCGTGGATGAGTACAATGAGATGCCCATGCCTGTGTAGCCGCTACCTGGAGGGACAGCAGAGGGACTAATGGGCTGGTGGGATGGGTTTCTCCCCCATTTTTATTTAAGTGATTAATAATTTAAAGTCCCCTTCTCCCCACTCCTGCAGTAAAATGCTTCAGCCCCCACCTAGCCCTGGCCTTCCGTTTTCATGGAGTATAAGGTGGGGGTGGGGGGGGGGTGCTCTCTGTCCCAGAAATGAGACTCACCATGGAAAGGAAAGAGACTTTAATGAAAAACCAAAACAAATTGTCCACCCCCCATGGGGGGGCCATCCTGAGCCCCATGTGTATCCCTCACCCCCCTTCAGGTCCCCAGCGGAGGCCTAAAGTTTGCAGCTTCTGCCTTAGGTAGCTCTTGAGCTGGGCCAGGCCTCTCTGTGACTCCAGTTCTTCGAAGGGCAGCTGTGGGGAGAGAACAGAGGGTTACGGAGGGGCTGCCGGGAGGGTGAGCATGCAGGGCAGGGGGGCGCCTCTCACCGGCAAGAGCTGGTAGCCCATTAGGCCCAGGTGCCGCTCCCTCAGGGCCCGGGAACCTAGCAGCACCCTGCCGTCACGGCAGAAATGCCAGCGTTCATGCAGCATCAGCACCACCCTGGAGAAGGGGCAGATATGGCTCAGGGCCTGGCAGCCAGGTGGCCAAGGCTCTCCCACCTGCTCCCTTACCTTTGGGCAGGGTCTCGGGTTGTAGGGTTAAAGGCAGCCTGGCCCTGTGGGCAGGACCGTGGTGGGTAAGGTAGGAAAGGATCCTGGGTCCTTACAGGAAGCACAGCACCAGAACTGCTGACACACAGAAGGAAGTCTGCAAGGGAGAGGCAGGGCCTTAGCCTTGCTCCAGGCTGGGACTGCCCAGCTTTGGGGCTGCTGGCCACCTGCAGCTCACCTGTGCAGTAGCCTGGAGGTACAGTCAGGTCCTGGCGGTATTTTTCTTCCCCTAGCAGCTGGCGTAGCCCCTCAGCTACTATGTCCTTGTGACTGGGGAAAGGGCACCAGTGGAAGGAAAGCCTTAAGGCCTCCATGTAGTCTGTCCTTGCTGAGCACCGCCACCCTGGGCAAACCCCTTCACTGCCTCTGGGCCTGTTCTTGAGATCGCTAAGAGCCATGCATGGTGCCCGGTCTACTTTGTGTTTCCGTGGCTGTCCCACCCCTCTCCTCAGACTACCTGCCCACCTGTATTTGGAGCGGGCACGGTCAGTGATGAGTGGTTGTGGGAAGATGGGCACTTGTTGCCCTCTGGGAAGGCGGGGGCCCCGGTATCCTGGAAGCTCCAGCTCCACAGCCGTGTCAAGCAGGGAGAGGTAGCGTCGCACAATCAGAGCATGAGGGGTGCCTGTGGGGAAGTGAGGACGGGGGGGACACTGGGCCGACCCCTGGACACCCCCTGCCCCTCTGCCCCACCAGCCATCCCGTCTACACACCACTGATGTGATTGATGAAACTTGGGGAGAAGACAAAGTGCAAGGCTCTGAAAGGAAGGCATTGCAGCTGGCACAGTGACATCAAGATGTTGACTGTGGCCAAGGGTGTCATCCCTGCCTCCCTTGCCAGGATCCTCTCAAGGCAAGGCATAAACTGCTGCTCCAAAGGCAGGTAGTTCAGCCGCCCAAAGGGCAGGACCAACTTCTGTACCACCTGTGGAGGAGAGCAGTGCTCCGCATCTTTCACCAGCAGACCTCAGGGAGGCGTGGCGCAGCCTGTAACACTGCTGTCAAGGCAGAATGGCCCTCTAGTTCAATAGCCTAAGGTATCTTGAGCCACAAGGTATCTTATTACTACAAAGAGGGGCATCACAGTGGGGTCTAGCCAACAGACTTGTAGCAATGGGTAGATGAGGCTAGGCTGGTGCCAAGAGTGCTTTGGAAACCTACAGAGCTGGAGGGATCCATACTGGTCATGGGAATTGGCCAAGCTGGGGGAGTGAGTACAGATGGACGCCTAGGGATATGGAGCAGAGCAGCCTAGCAGCTGGAGTGTTTGCCTCAGGAGAAAGAGGCCAAACAAGCTGGACAGGGAACCGGGCCTGACCAGGTCTCCGAGGGTGACTCACAGAGGGGAAGGGAAGGGTGGGAGGCAAGCCCACCTTGCTGCTGAGCTGGGCTTCCTGGGCCACCAGGAAGTGAGCAATGGCTTCCAGAAGCTGGGGCTCCCGCAACCGGTGCCGGGCCAGGTGCCGGGCGAGGAGCACCATGACATGAGGGGTCAGGTCCTCTGGCCTTGCTTCTGCAGAGAATAGCCTTGTCACACTGGGCTAGATTGCACCTCAGCCCAGACAACTTAGCCTCCTGCACCCTTTTGCTTTTAACCCTTCAGCACCTGCCAGACTGCTGATCAGATGCTGCCGTGGGTACCGCAGTAAGTGGGGACAGCTCAAAGCAGCTTCCAGCCTTTGCCCACCATGGACAGGCTGTGGTGGGGGGGGTGGCTTTGGAGGGAGGCGGAACCTTCGCTCCTGCTCCAGGGCACACACCAAGGGCCCATCTGATGGAAAACCTGAGAGAGAAAGGGAGAGGGGCAAGGACAGTCTTGCTAAGAGGACTGTGCTATACTGTTCTAATTGGTGGGTTGAATCCACACATCTCCTCATTTCTCAAGTGGGACAAAGGTACTAGAGTTTAAATGGGAAACATAGGAGAGATGTGAAGTATGAGAACGTGAGGTATCAGGACAGTTTAGGGAAAGCCTTATAAAAGGTGTCAAACTGGTTGTCATTTCATGCCAAGTGTGACAAACTGCAGTGACTATTAGAAGGAATCTTGGGCAGCACTCAAGTAGCTGGGACGCATGCTGTTTGACTCCAACATCTGCTGTAGACATGAGAAGCAACAAGTGTGCCAGGTTATGTGACATTCCTAGGCAAAAGCCAGGCCAACTCTTGTCAGTGACCTGGGGTCCTCTACTCTTCTACTCCTCCCCAAACACCCACACTCCTAGAAGTCCTCCTCACCAAGTAGGACTGCAAGGTGCAGACACACGTGGATGGTGTGAATGTCAAAGGAGGGGCAGTTTTGGATGATGAGCTGACTCAAGTCCTGCAGTGTGGCCTGCTCCACAGGAGGTGGCTGGGGCTGAGTCCTCAAGAGCTGGCCCAGACGACGAAGCGCCACAGGGTAGTGGTGAGGGCGCACCTTGGTGGGGTTCTGGCCCAGCCAGCGCAGCAGTTCCCCTGGGCTCCTCGCCTGTTCCAGAAGCCGCTGCAAGCCTTGCATGGGGCCTGCATGGGGACCTCCTCCAAAAATCTGGTTCCCCAGCTTGCCGGGCCCCAAACAGCAGGGCTGTACTGGTGGGATGAGCAGCAGGCCAGACAGCCGAGCAGGGGAGGCCTTCGCAGACAGCAGGATTCGAAGCATGGAGTTGGGTGATGGAGACCCTGAGAGGTGGCCCAGAAAATCGGGTGAGGTTTCCTCCAAAGAGGAGAAAGCCCTGCTACCTACTCCTTACCTCACTCCCCATCCAGAGGAGTCTGGGGTCAGAGCAACCCTCTGTGACTGCTCTGGTCTCCCTCCCACCCTGTTCCCCCTCTACTTGCAACAGTAACCCCAGTCCTTCAGGGTGCTCAACGTAGCGATTCACAAAGCAATTTCACATGCATTATCTCCTCCGATGCTCCAAACACGCTGATGAGAGTCGCAGGGCTGGCGTTGCCTCGTTTCACAGGTGGAGAATTAAGGCCCATATCAGCCCGAGGTCATTTACAGGGTTAGCGGTTGGCACCCAGCCTGGAACCCGAGAGGTCCCGGGAATGAGCCCTCAAGGCTACCTCCCCCTCCCGCAGGAGGTGGTGGCAGCACGGAGGGTGGAATGCGGACTCCGCAGCTGGACGATGCTGGGTCCCATGCTGGGCGATCCCACTTACCAGCTGCATGACCTTGGACAAGTGGCTTCGCCTAAGTCTCTTCACCCGTGAAAGGAGAACACAGCGCTCACCTCGCACGGCGCGCAGGGCTCGGGTGCGCAGCTTTGCGAAGGCGCTGAGTCGATGCTGTCGGGGGCCCCTACACCCACCCCGGTCTGGGGACGCCAGAAGCCCGTGGCTAACGCCAGCTCCCGCTGCCCTCCCGCGGCCCTCCGCGCAGACGCCACCCTACATGACTCCCCGGGCCCCGCGCAGGTCGCTCCCTCAGTCGGTCTTGGGGCCCGGCAGCCGGATTCCCCCCGCAGCCTTCTCATCAGCAGGTCACCAAGTCCGCCATCTTCCCAGCAGCCCCGGACGCCAATCTCGGCGCAGGACTCCGCCAGCTGAGACGTGGCTCCCGGCAGGCGCTGCGAACCAGGGCTCCCCCAGGCCCCGCCCCCCGCTTCCGGGAAGTGCGCGTGCGACGCGGGGGCGTGGCCAGGGCGGGGGCGGGGCTGCCGTGCCAGAGCCTGAAATCCGTGGGACTCAGATGCGAAGGGAGGTCAGCTGCCTGACCTGGGTAGGGTGCACAGGGCCAGACGCTGGTCCTGGTCCTTCCTTTTCCCCCGGGAGCAAGACTTCTCGCTCCTCAGCCCCACACAGACGCACACCGAGAGTGAAAACTTCACAGTTACTTTAATCTGCACAAGTTCCAGAGGACACCTGTCCCTCCTAGCTCCCCTTTACCAGCCTCCCAGTTTGTGGGTCCCCTAAGGAGCTCTTAGGGACTAGAGGTGGCTCGGTCCTCTGGCAGAACACTAAGGCGGGCCCAGGGGTGTGGCCCGGCTCTGCTCAGGGCCAAGGCAGCGACAGCAAGTTCCTGATCTTGAGGAGGCCATTGTCAGTGAGGGCTGGGGGCCAGAAGCTCCAGGAGGTGGCCCAGAGACATGAAGCTCACAGGCAGGTGCCTCCACCAGTCCCCGGACTGCTCTGCGGCGCAGGGCTGGGCTCCAGGGTAGTGGGAAGAGGCAGGCTGGAGAGGCTGGCCTGGGCAGACAGCAGCTCCCACCACGCCTTGGGGAGTGAGGTCCAGGGGGGACAGCTGTGCTGCCAAGAGCCCTTGGAGGCACTATGGGCGGTACATGGCAAAGGCCAGAAGACTGAGGAGCAGGGTGAAGCTGGCCAGGCCCAGGGTGGCGGTCAGGGGAAAGAAGGGCCGGTACTGGATCTGGCAGTACCAGAGCAGAAGCAGCAGGAGCAGTAGCAGGGGTAGCAGCAGGCTGCCAATTTCCAGCCCGGAGGGGCCTGGCTCTGACCCCGGTGGGCAGGGGGGATGTGGGGGACCGACCCTCGTGGACACGTGGCAGTGGAGAACGCAGTTGGGAGGGAGGTGAAGGCTGGCCAGCGTCTGGGTGTCGTCTCCTAGCAGTTGGCCTTGGTAGATGAGTCGCACCTGGTGTTCCTGTCCTGGAAACTGGGTCCTGAGGAGAGAGGGACCTGGGTAAGAGAGCAGGCCTCAGGCAATCCTAGTCCCTTGCCCAGAGCAAGGCTCCCGCCTCTCATCCCTGCCCTCCACATACTACCAAGGCCGTGGCCTCTGGGGGGCAGTCTGCTACAGGGGAACAATACAGCATGTGATTTGGGGAGCTCATTTCCCCCAAACAGAAAACAAGGGGGAGTTTTATATCTCTGGTGGCCCTTTTGCAGTCACTCCCACCCCATTCTTTAGCATTTTGTTTCTACCCTCTTTTCTGCTTACCTTTTCAAGGAACCAATGGTGTCGTGGGGCCAGGCCCTGGCCACCTGCTCTGAATCATTGAGGAATTTCAGCCTTAGCACAAGGGGCTCCTGTGGGGAGTCCGGGGGTGGTGCTGTTGCTGTGACCCCTGGGCCAGGCTCTGGCTGTGCAGCTGGACCTCTGTGTCTCAGGCTGGGGGTCTCGGCCCCTGGGGCTTCCCCTCTGACGCCGTCGGTGGTTGCCATGGCTTCACTGGGCTGTACTGGCGTTGGGGTCCCTGACGGCTGGGGCAGGGGATCGGTGCTCTCGGTAGTATGTGTTGAGATCCAAGCAAGGGCCAGCACCAGAAGGCAGGCAAGCACCGCAAAAAGGACAGTCACCTCATCACCTACCCCTTCAATCAAGGCCATGGCACCTGCCTTGCCTGCTGTGTTACCAAGCTGGAGAGACACAAAGAACCGTGATGGGCTGGCTGCCTGGCCAGGTGCCCTCTGATCTTCAACAGGCTCTTAACTCCACCACCACTACAACTCTCCCACAGTCCTAATTCCTCTGTCCCCTTACTCACTCAGGGTAGACTGCACCTGACTCACGGTCGCCCCAAATTTGTCTCCTGCCGCTTCTCATCACCAAATTCCAAGTCTAAACTTTGTTACCTGAATTCTAGGTATTTAACCAGCTCTCTAACTCATCCAAGACCCATCAAAAGGGAAGGGCCTTCACCTTTTAAGCAAGCCCGCCCCTAAATTTAACCCCCACCAAACTTCACCCCAGAGCTTACCTATTCTTTTTTCCACTTCATCCCAGAGTTTACTCCTTCACCTATTTCACCCCCAAGTTCATCTAATGCTCTGTCGCTAAAGTTTCTCTGAGGAGCAGAAAAAGAATCTCTATGCCCCCCTTTGCCATTTTACCCAAACCCCACCCGCAGCACGGACTGCTTCCCAAAGCTTCCCCCACACCAAACGTCAAACTCCGCCCTTGGGCAATCTGGAGCCTCCGAGCGCTGCCACCCACCCAGCTCTGCCCCTCCACCCAAGCCCCACCACGCGGCGGCCCAACTCGGGAAGCCTCCCCCAAACCCAGCGGCCGCCTGACCCGGGATCCCGCCGGGGAACCGAGACTTTGCCCTCCCCACCCCCACTGCTCCCATTACTCCTCCCATCTTCCCGCCCCCAAAGCCGCGGGAGGGCACCGGCGATCCCGGGGCGGGGCCCAGCCGGGCCTGGGGCGCCGGGGTGGGCGCGGCCACGCGCGGGGACTCACCGCCTGGCTCCGCTAGCTCCATCTCGGCCCCCTCGGGCACTTCCGGGCGGGAGTTGCTGAGGTCGCAAGACACCTGAAGCACCCCTCCTTCCCGCCGCCGCAGCCCGGAGCATTGTGGGAGTTGCAGTCCGCACCGTTCAGTCCCCGCCCTCTGCCCTGCGGACCCACGTGCGGGGCTCGGTTCCCCCGGCTGACGTGTAGCCCAGGGTTTGGTGGGGACGACCCTGGGGGTTTTGCTAGCCGGAGAGATTTGGACAGCAGCAGGATCCGCCCCCTCCGCCGTCAGCAGCCAAAGCATCTGTCACTCCAGTCACCAACGTCAGCTGGAGCAAGTCAGAACACCCGTGTTCGTGATGCAGTGATGAAGGCTCTGGGGAGCTCTGGTGGCCACTACCCCGGTCTCGTCGTGTATCAGAGCAGACGCCAGAAGGCAATTTGGACCACCAAATTGTCTCTGCAACCCAGAGCCCAGTATGTACTGGCTGCCTCACCTGCCTCACAGGCTAGCTGAGGATCCTAGTCCCCAGGTCTGTCCCCTTTCTCTGACCCCCTGCTCCACCTGGCTCCCAAAAGACTGTGAAGGAAGCACGGACTCCGGAACAGAACACAAATCCTGATCCCTTATCCCCTGCTTATTAGCTGTGTGATTTCAGCTGGGTCATTAAATCAATGAACTAAGTTGCTTCATTCCTAAAACATACCTCATAAATCCATTGTAAGAAAGAAAACTGATAACTTATTAAATAAGTGTGAAAACTGTATGGGATGTGTGTCCCAGTAGATTTTGTTCGCCTACTATTAGTGCATTCTCTCTACCCAAACCTGGCTGGAAAATTAAATCCTTATGAGTGTTTCTGTGTAGAGGATGTGTCCCAGCTACACCTGGGACAGCTACCTTCTGTGAATTTTCCCTTCTTCCTCTGGGCTTTATTATCCACAGAAATCTCACATCCTGGAGTTCACAGGCCAGTCTGTGAATTCTTTCTTTCCTTCCTTCCTTCCTTCCTCCCTCCCTCCCTCTCTCCCTCCCTCCCTCCCTCCCTCTCTCCCTCCCTCCTTCCTGTTCTCCCTCCCTTTCTTTCTTTTTTCTTCTGTAACTGGGTTTTGAAATCATGGACTTGCACTTGCTAGGCAGTCAGTCTACCACTTGAGCCACACCCTCTTCCTTTTTTTTTTTTTCGTGAGACAGGGTCTCAGTAAGGTCTCTCATACTGCCCTCAGCCTCCCAAGTACTGGCATGGCTTTACAGATTTTTTTTTTTTTGCACTACTGGGGCTTCTTGAGCCACTCCACCAGCCCTATATATATATAGGTAGCCACTACCCCGGTCTCGTTGTGTATTAGAGCAGACGCCAGAAGGCAATTTGGACTACCAAATATATATATATGTATAAGGGTTTTTTTGAGATAGTGTTTTGTGAACTATTTGCCCTTGCTGGCTTTGAACCGAAATCCTGATTTCTGCCTCTTGAGTAGCCAGGATTATAGGTGTGAGCCGAATGGCGCCCTGCCAGACTTTTTTTTTTTTTTCACTGTACTGAGGCTTGAACTCAGGGCCTCACACTTGCTAGGCAGGTGTTCTACCACTTGAGCCACTCCACTAGCCCTGTTTTGTGTTGGGTATTTTTGAGATAGGGTGTCTGAACTAATTACCCCAGGCTGGCTTCAAACCTGGATCCTCCTGATCTCTGCCTTCTGAGTAGCTAGGATTATAGATGTGAGTCACCCACACTAGTCTGTTCTGTTTTTGGATGGTACTGGGGCTCTACCACATAAGCCACACCTACAGTCCATTTTGCTGTGGCTTTTTGAGATGTGGTCTCTCAAACTATTTGCTCAGGCTGGCCCACAGGCTGGTCTTGATTCAAAATATTATAGCCTAGTCTCCCCACTCCTACTTGTGGATGCAAGTGCCTCAAATATTGCCTTGGAAAAGTGAGTTTGGCCAGGCACTGGTGGCTCACAACTGTAGTCCTAGCTACTCAGAAGGCAGAGATCAGGAGGATTACGGTTCAAAGCCAGCTTGGCAAATAGTTCATAAGACCCTGTCTTGAAGACACCCATCACAAAAAAGGGCTGGTAGAGTGGCTCAAGGTGTAGGTCCTGAGTTCAAACCCAGGACCACATATAGAAAAAGAGTTTAGATTTATAAAGTGCAGAACTAACTTATTTCTCGTTCTTTCCCATTTCATTTATGCTACAAACAGTTACTAAATATGTAAGTACTATATGCCAGGCACCGTGCAAGATGCTGGGAATACAAAGGTTTATAAGACTCTCTCCCTGCCTTGGTATGCTCATATACCAATAGAGGAGCAGGCATGCAGACAGCCCATCGGTGTTAAGACAGGTGTGTGCTGGTGGTTAGAGCAACACATTGGAGGAACTCCACTCAGCATCTCTCTGGGGAAGTATACACCATGAAACTTCTGGCTGTCAATTCTAATTAAGCATCTAAAGGAGACACTGGTGCTGCTTTTAGAATTACAAAGCCGCAGTCAGGTTTTCTGTTCAACCACCATATTTTGCAAATGAAGCCCAGAAAGGATACAAGACATCCTTAGTCATACAGATAGAAATCCACATCCCTTGGGAGTTTAGGAAGTCCCAAGTATTGATTAGTTTGCATTTGGTCCTTTGGAAGGTAGGAGAAACTTAGGAATAGTGACTGGGTTGGTACTCGGGCAGAGTTGGATGATAGATAACTTTACACTGGGAAAAGGTCCAGCTCAGCCTGGGAAGTGAAAGTGTGTGTAAAAAGAATGATATGTGTCAACAGAACTCAGAAGATATCTGGGTATAACCAGAAATCTATTGGCTGGGCCACTGCCCTGCACATGTCACCCTTTCTGGGATGCAGGAAATGTGTGTATGTTCCTTGGGAGTGTGGGCTGGCAGAATGGCAGAACAGCTTTGGCAATGGGAATGCACAGGAACTGGGACATTGAAGGAAGCTCCCTGGCCCCAGGAGTGGAAGGACAGGATGGACAAGGGGGGAAGAGCAAGGAAAATTATGAGAGCCATGTGGGTTCTGGTGTTTCTCTAGGGGTGGATAGGGGGAAGGAGGCATAATTGATTCCTCCCTTTTCTTCCTCTCCGTACCAATGGGTTAGGGGCAACATTCAGGGAACCCTTCCCAGCTTGGCAAGTAGAGTCTTTTAGGAGAGGCCGGTCCCAAGAAGGTAAGTGTTAGGATGTTGTTCAAAGTGTTAATTTCAGGGGCCCTCTGATGAAACTGGAAATAGCAGCTGGGAACCGATCTCAGCCTCTGAGTCGCACAGAGCAGTGGAGATCCGGGCAGAGCACTAAGAGAACCCCAGCGGCGGAGTGGTCTCCAGCGCTGACTTCAGGGCCTGGGGACAAGGGAGCTTATGCGGCACACAAGGCAGGGAGGCGCAGTTGGGCTTGGGCGGCTTCTCGGCCAATCAGCCGCCGTTTATCAGCACCCTTAGGCGTAGAGGGCACTATTCGGGTATTGCCCAGAGATCCTACCACCGCCCAGACCAGCGCAGGGAGGTGCAAGCGACACCCAGCCCGGGAGGGGCATGGGGCAGCTGTGCGCAGCTGTGCCCCGGAGCGGGTGGCCCTCGAGTTGGTGTGGGTGGGGGCTGGCGAGCGGGCGGAAGGGCCGAGCCGGGTGGGAGGGGCCGGGCGCCGAGGCCACAGCGCGGCGCTTGGGGGTGGAGGCTTCAGAGCCCGCGAGCAAGCAAGGGGCGGGGGCGCTGGGCCGGCTCGCGGGAGGGGCGGGGGCGGCTGGGAGGGGGGCTCGGGCTGCGTGTGCTGGAGCCGGCGGGGGCGGCAGTGCGTGCGCATGACGCGGGGGGAGGGCCCGGGCCGCGCGCTCCCGGTCCCGTTGTTGTTGCCGCTGGAGGCTGCTCCGAGGCAGCGGGATCTGGGCGCCGGGAAGCGCCAGGCAGCGGCCACAGCGTGCGCGGCGGCGGTGCCTTCTGGCCTCGGCCCCCGGTCCTCGGCTCCATGCATTAGCCCGCGCTGCCCGCTCCGTAGTCCGGGCCTCGCCAGCCCCGCGCGCCCGCTCGCCGCACTCGCCGCCGCCGCCGCGCCGCCCGGGCCCCGGCCGGGCCCGCCTCGGGCCCCGCGGCTCCGGAGCCATGAACTTCCAGGCGGGCGGGGGACAGAGCCCGCAGCAGCAGCAGAGCCTGGCGGCTCCGGGGGGCGGCGGCGGCGGCGGCGGCGGCGCGGGGGCGGCGGGCAGTTCGGCGGCGCAGGGCCGGGGTCTGGGGGCGGCGGCCCCTCGCAGCAGCTGGCCGGCGGGCCCCCCCAGCAGTTCGCGCTCTCCAACTCGGCGGCCATCCGGGCCGAGATCCAGCGCTTCGAGTCAGTGCATCCCAACATCTACGCCATCTACGACCTGATCGAGCGCATCGAGGATTTGGCGCTGCAGAACCAGATCCGGGAGCACGTCATCTCCATCGAGGGTGAGCGGAGCCGGGGGCTGCGGAAACCGGGGCGCTGTGCCCCTTCCAGCGTCGCCCGGGGGCCTCCACGGGCCCGGCCGGACCCCTCTCTTGTCGTCAGGGGTCCTCGCGCGCCTGAGGTCTGGGCCACGCGGTGTGTTGATTGGCGCTGCAGAGCCCTGGTCCAGGCTTCGCCATGTCTCGTCCAGGGACACTTTGGGGTTGGGGGTCGGTCCCCGCTGCACATTTTCTGCTTATGATGTTGCATGGTGCGAAGGTGGTGTCGCTCCCGAGACTAGTGCGCTCTGGGTCGCAGAGGTTTCGGTGGCCTGGGGCTATGTTTGGTCAAGCATGGCCCAGGAGGGTGGGCGCGACACAGGGCCTCAGGGGGACCGGGAGGTGGGACTGAGAATCAGGCGGCTTCTTAGCTGCTGCCGTAGCTCTGCTCCGTGATGGGGCGGAGGACAGAAGCCTCCGTTAGTGGATGGCAGTCTTACTGGGCCAAGCGCCCACGGGCCTTGGAGGGTGACGCTCGCCGCGGCGCCCTTCCCAGACGCACACCCTCACGCCGCGGCGGCCGGGCGGGCCGGGCCTGGCTCGGGGCTGGGCGCCGTGACCGCGTGGGAGGCGCCGGCTGGTCCCTCGGCGCCTTGGCGGGGTC